AAGAGTCTGATCCTGGTTGCGACTCCGCGTCTGTGGATGCTCCGTCTATGCCCTGCCACGAGTCGTCCTCCTCCTCGCCGCGGTCTCGCTCCTGTTCGTAGTCGCTCTTCTCCCTGGCGGTGTATAAGTTGGTGAAGGCCGGGTGGTCGATGAGCTGGTCGATGCGAGTCCGAAGAGCTTGTTTCGTGCGAGCCTTCAGTTCGGTGACGTTCCCTTGCTCGTCCAAACCCAGGGCGCGTGCGAGTTCCACCAGTTCCCTCCGGTTGAGGCGGTAGTGAGGCCGCTCAAAGACTTCTTCGTTGGGGACCCAGGGGGGCATTTTGTCAAGCGAGTGTAGGTTTTTGGCGATATGTACTAGGATGCAGATACGCCTCCCGCTCTCGCGGTGAGGCTCCGGAAGGAAGAGGCGTGAGAAAAACTACATAGACGCGGCGCTACGATATCTGCTCCCTCTCCCCAAGACGGCGCACCGAGCTTCGCTCGGTGCTCGCCTGATCGGAGGCGAGAGGCCTTCGATGTCTCGACTTGCCTCAAAAGCAGGTTTACTTCATGAAGATTGTTGTAGGCGATTCATCCATCTCAACCCCGCTCTCCAAAAAAACGAAGGACCCCTCATGGAATGTGCCAATCAGCATGTGCGCGAACCGACAACTGAGTTCCTGATCGAGGAAGTCTGATGCATTTCACAGAGTTTGTGGAGATTCGCATGATTTGAGCGTACAATTATGGATTCGACATCTCTTTCCAAGGCTCAAAAACGGTCGCTGTGAATTGGTTGGATCGATACGAGCAGAAATTCCGAAAGAGGATATCGCGGGTGAGACCAATACGACACATAGTCTTCGACAAACTAACAAACGTTTGCTGATACTTCATAGATATCGATGCTCGGCTCGACGCTGATAATCGCTCGATATTCTCCCAATCCACCATCAAACTCTCGATTGCACGTTTGCATCCGCGGGTGAATTCGTTTTTTCAAGGCACTAGGTACATTCAGCCCCCTTGTAGAGCTGAGCTCACCAAGCTCACTGCATGAAGCGAAACTGTCTTGATTGCGACAGCTGCAACAGAGAAGGCAGCAGAGTTACAATCGGTGAAATTGGATCAGTTCTTCGATATTTGGTCTCCCCTCTTGGAGAAAGCCGATAACTTCTTCAAACTCGCGGAGTCGGTGGCTGCTGTGAGCTCTTCTCTCGGTTTTCGTAGTGCCCCCATCGATCGCAATTCAGAAACTGAGTCCATGGGCAAAGATGGTGGTCGGAATTCTGTCGGCTGTCCCAAAGGTGTGCATGTTCCTCGTATCTCCATCGTGTGACTCGCAGGACAATACTTGGTCAGGTTATCAACGACCAAATCAAGACCGACAAAGCTCTTCGCGGTCTCGTCGAGACCATGAACGACACTATGGACTTGATGATAAACGCCGAGAGTCTTCGCAGATCAGGGCCTCGTCAGGACATCGCGAGACTTATCTCTCTGCAAATCATCGAGTGCGGACTCTTCATTTTGAAGTACGCGGAGACGGATGGATTTGGCAAGTGACATTATTGCGCTGCGTGATTCAACTTTATGACGAGGCGAAATCCCACAGCCCTTCGAACATTCAAACATGTGCTCCGTAGTCCTATAGGAATTATCACAGGTTATATTGAGTCACTCAAACGTCTAGTTGCAAGATTTCAGAGTCACAGTGTAGTGGATGCAAATGTCGTAGCTCTTAAGGTTCTTGAGACATCGGATGATCTCGGTTCGTCTCGTAGTCTGCACTTACAGCTCGGTTCCACTAATTGTGATCACGTAGATACTAACTTTACCTTGAGCCAGATGGCCGTTTCTAACGGCGCTGGATACTCCCAAGAAAAAGGTTGTTTGCCGGATACTCGAGGAGAAGTGATTGAAGACATCATACTGTGGGCGCGCGGTCCTCACAAATTTTCGTCCAAGTCAAAGTTTTGGCTCCACGGGCCGGCGGGTGCCGGGAAGTCATCTATCGCAAACACGGTGGCGATGACGGCGGAGCAAATGGGACTCTTTGGGTCTTTCTTTGCGTTCAGCACATCTGTAAGGGAGCGTAGGCCGCACAACCTCCTTGCTACTATCACACGTGATCTGGCAGATTGCATTCCTGAATGGAAAAAGTCGCTATGGTCAGTTATACGCGGCAACACGGCCCTACGATCAACTCCTTCGCTTGGATTGCAGTTCGAGAAATTCATGGTGGATGTCGCCGAAGGCATCAGTGACAGGACACTCGGACCGATACTGGTTGTTATAGATGCCTTGGACGAAAGCGGTGCAGAGTCGGAGCGCTCGGACTTATTGCGGTATATCGCTCGACTCGGGGAAATCGGTCCTTCCTTCCGATTTCTGATCACCTCCCGCACCGAAAGCGACATCGCCGCTGTCCTGGGGAATTCGACGGATGTGCTCTCGCTCGACATAGCTGCTGTGGATGGCTTTACCACGAAGAGGGATATACGGCGATATGTCGGTTGGATGTTGTCCCGTTCGCCATCCATTGCGACGAGTAAACGATGGATCGAGGAGCAAGGATCCATTGTAGACACGTTGGTCGAGCATGCGGATCTTTCCTTCCAATGGGCCTCTACAGCTTGCAAGTTTATATCAGGAGAGGGGCAATCCAAGGCATATAGCTGGTACGAGCGCTTTCGATCCGTCATTGCGTTTCGTCTGGAAAAGACGCGACAGGGAGTCAAGTTCTCCCACCTTGATGCTCTATATCAGACTGTGTTGGAAATCTTGTTTCCCCAGGAAGACGCTGACGGACTAGGACGGTTGACGAAGGCACTGGCACTGGTTGTTGCGACGCGAGAGCCGCTTACTAGACAAGGCTTGCAGGAGTTTTACTCTGATTATGGCGACTTCCAATATACGGAGCATATTCTCTCTTTTCTTGGGTCTCTGATCTCCGGCGTCTCCAGGCCTGATATCCCCATCCGTCCATTGCATAGTTCTTTCCGTGAATTGCTTCTGGAGCCAGATCGTAGCGGGACTTACTGTGTTGCACCCTCACGAGAATCAGTGGAGAGCATGATTTCATCCTCCTCTCTTCGCATTCTCAGGACCTCGCTCAAATTCAACATATGTCGCCTTGAGACTTCGTACCTGCTTAACTCGGAAATTCAAGACATGCCGGACCGTGTCGCGTTGTATATTTCCCCGGGTCTCAGCTACTCGTGTCGCTTTTGGTCGGCGCACCTGGAAGGAACACCACTTGATGATGGACAACTACATGACATCGAGAGCCTTTTCTCGACCGCGAAGATATTGTTCTGGATTGAAGTACTGAGCATCCTCGGCTCGCTGGGTACGGCAGCTCCCGCGCTCGGTACACTGCTCAAATGGGTTGCGAACGTGAGTCATGTCGTCTGTACCATAGCACGCGGAAAGATCTGACTACTTATCACGCAGACGAACACTCCTAGAAGCAGCATCGTACCGTTCGTACGCAATGTACAGCAATTTGTACGCGTATACGCGCCTGCCATGTCAATCTCTGTACCACAAATCTACCTGTCGGCGCTTTCATTCGCTCCCAACGAGTCTTTAATCGCTACTCGCCTGAGGGCTTATTTTCCCAGAATAGCCATCATAGGCGCCGCTGACAACGGTGACTGGCCGGCATTACAGTCAGTACTCCAAACGCCTGTCCCCATCTCTGCCGTGGCATTTTCTCCGGAAGGAACTCGTATCGCGTCGGGATCTCGCCAGGGAATTGTTCAGATATGGGATGCAGAGACCGGAGAGGCAATGAGTAGACCTCTGCACGGCCACACCGATGTCGTCTACTGTGTTCTGTTTTCCCCCGATGGTAGCCGTATCGGTTCTGGATCGTGGGACAACACCGTCAGGATCTGGGATACTCGTACAGGACGCGCTGCCACGGACCCGCTTCTATCCCACAGTGATGATGTTACCTGTCTCTCTTTTTCGTCGGACGGGGGTCGCCTCGCATCAGGGTCCCGAGACAGGACTGTGCGAGTTTGGGATGCATACTCCGGCGATCCAATTGGTGCGGCACTGGAAGATACAGATCCGATTTATGCTGTGGCGTTCTCACATGGAGGTAGGCAAGTGACTACCGTATCTGAGCAAGTGGCAGTCCGTATACGAGACATAAAATCCGGGGACATCATAAGCGTGCCCTTCCACGGCATCGCAATGCCAGCATCCTCAATCGCAATCTCACCGGGAGGAGACTGCGTCGCTGCCGGCTTTCGGGACGGATCCGTAGGTCTTTGGGATGCCGTCACAGGCGCGGAGATCATCAAACTGCATCGAAGTCACACTGCAAACGTTTGGTCCCTCTCGTTTTCGTTTGACGGCCGTCATTTTGCTTCCGGATCCTGGGACGAGACGATTCGAGTCTGGAATACCTCAGGCACGGGCAACACTGTCAGCGAGCCACTCCGCGGCCACACGAATGCTGTCTGGTCCGTTGGGTTCTCTCCCGACGGGAGTCGTATCATTTCTGGCGCCCCAGACAAGACCATCCGCGTCTGGGATGCATATGTAGCGACGACTGCAGGAGAACCGTCATTTGACGGCTGTGGTAATTGCCATTCCATTACGTTCTCACCGGATAACACTCGTGTTGCATCGGGATCAGACGATTCAGTCAGCATCTGGGATGTCCGCACCGGGGCTCCTGTAGGAGCGCTACGGGAAAGGCATAACGGATCCGTTCTGGCCGTTGTGTATTCTCCGGATGGTAACCTTATAGCTACTGGCGCTGACAGCGTCTGCCTCTGGGATGCGAAAACCGGAGAAAGTCTGGTCGATCCCGGCAACAACGGCCCCTCTCGCGAAGTTCAGTCTCTAACGTTTCTACCCGATGGTAGTTGCCTTGCCTGCGGTACATCAAGGACAACAATTCTGGTATGGGACGCACGCACCGGCAAGGCTGTCTGTCAAGCCCTCCAAGGCCATACTCGAATTATCACTACTATAACATTTTCTGCAGATGGCCGTCTCATAGCCTCTGGCTCATGGGATAGGACGATTCGCGTCTGGAGCGTGCTGACCGGAGAACCCATCGTTGACAATGCTCTGAATGGCCATACCGACGCCGTTGACTGTGTAGCGTTCTCCGCAGATGGAACGCATATCGTTTCCGGCTCGAGTGACATGAGCGTTCGAATTTGGAACACGCACAGTGGCGCATCTGTCGGCGAGCCCCTTCGCGGACACACGCAGGCAGTCTGTTCAGTCGCATTCTCTCCAGACAGGAGCATCGTCGCCTCGGGCTCGGAGGACCAGACAATACGAGTTTGGAATGCACACACAGGCGAGCTTGTGGGTCAGTCTCTTTGCGGTCACACGGGGACCGTCCTTTCCCTCGCCTTTTCTTCAGACGGCGCCCGTATCGCATCCGGATCGATGGACCACACGATTCGAGTCTGGGATGCACCATCCGTCGTCCCCGATGGATCGGTCCTTACCCGTGCATCACTTGATAGTGAGTGGGCCGAGCATATGGTACCGTCGTTTGCACTGACATGGGGTGTATCTGCAAGTGGATCATGACCTCGGTCACTTGTCGATGGCGTTCGCTCAGAACGCCCGTCTCCTGATACCAGAAGGGTCAGTTCTGACTCGTCAAGAGTTCATGGATTCATTTCGGCTTCTTGGCGATGGATGGATGGTCGGTCCCGGGCAACAGCGTCTGATATGGATTCCTCCTCGACACCGAGCCGGTCTTCTTCTCCCGCGGTGCAAGCTCCTCATACCAACGAACCACGCGACGACCGTTGATCTAAGACGCTTCGTGCATGGGATGGATTGGATGGAATGTATTATGCCGGACGAACCTTCGGTTGATCAGCACGCTCATCGCGTAGACGGACTTCATACGCGCTGATACCTGTGAGTCTTTTGGGTGTCAAGACATGGAGAAGTTAACCTGAAAGTGTACAGAATCTCTCACCGAACTCGCGGCAGAGAATTATGGCGCAGCAACCAGCATGTACAGCAATGGAGGTTGGCAATCAGGCACAATCAGAACTTGTTTGCGAAGATTGGTTTTCCATAGAAGAGTTAGCGTAGTTGGAGACATAATATATTCGGACGTAGCGCAGCTTATAGGGACAGAAATAGGGTCGCGTCCGGTTTCGCAACGAGTTGTAATCCCGTTTGTATCGGCTCCACATAGCTCGCCTCGACTATCCATAAATCCACACTCGCCGCATCAGGCTTCCTCTGCATCAGCCTCTGGTTCTACTCCGGATGGCGCGGCACGCGTACCAACTTTGGTTCTGTCTCCGCCACCAGCTCCCACAAACGTGAAAATAGAGGGGCGGCAATCGCACACGCGTGCATGCTTGCGGCTTCGTAGCACGCGGAGACCACGAGGAGGGGAAGTTGGAGGCGATAGCCGGCAGGGCGGAGACGCGTTAGAGGGCGGTTCATGTTTACGATGTCCGTAGCGGGAACGGGTGTCCGGAGCGAGAAGATGTGAAACACCGTGGGATGGGCGGTCGCCGAAGATGCAGATGGTGAGTGAGCCAAGTTTGCAGCAGCGGCCTATGTGAGGAGAGAAACGCTCATTAGCACTCGGTGCAATAGACACATACATGCGGGGAGGAGGATGAAGGAGGTGAGTACTCACGAACGACGTTCTCGCCCTGGTACGCGTGCAGCACGTGCTTTCCTGTCCAGAAGGATGCGAAGAGCTGGGTGACATTCTCGAGCTCCGCCGGGGTCTACGCCAAGTCGAATAGGTCGGTGAACACCGTACTGCGCACGGCGCTCGTCGCATCCTGAATAGGAGGCTCGGGTCCGATACGCTGTGCGACGTGCTCGTACAGCCTATAGAAACCAAAGCTCGCGTTCTGGCCAGTCGAAGCTTGGAACGTGGCTGATGCTGTAGTCGCTGGAGGTGCACCCGACCCGGCCAACCCAAAAGGGGACTGCTCGTATTCAGCGTCGGCGCCACATAGATCGTAGCCAAACCCTTGAGCTGCTGTAGGCGACTTGCGCTTGCGGGCTATATACCGACACCGCCGTCAATGATGGTCGCCACTGAAATTTTGAGCAGATGCGTGCGACGCACCGATAAGTAGCCGTGGTGTAGAGAACGCGGCGCTGAACGCGTTTGACGAGATTCATCCTCAGTCAAGCGCCGCATGGCCGAGCGAACGAGAAATATACGAGGCCATCGTAGAAGTCGCCGAGGTCAGCCTGAACTCGCGCCTGCCGCATCGATCTGCGAATTCGCTCGTACGATCTTTTTTCCCACGCCCGTGTCTCGTTCTCTGGACAGAACCCCATCCTTGGCCAGGATTACGATCGCAATCGCTATGTCGCTGTCAGATCACAACGACTACGACGACGCTTTGAAAGAGCCACTCGGAAGGCTATTCGTGCAGCTACCAAAATGCATCGTCCCGGCCCACGAGCCTGCTGTTTTGGATTCTCCGTGGTATCGGTATCTCATACTACCAGAACAAGAGCGGAGGGGAAATGTACGCCACTCCTGACATGGAACCATGTTCGACGCTGATGTTGTTGTGCTTACAGAAGAAGGAGATCTTGTCGACATTCGAGCCGTTCAGCCAACTACCACCGCAGCTCGACCCTCATTCAGACACCCCGAAGTCGAAACCCCCAGAGCTGTTCCTTGGCATACCGCTCGACGAGGACTTCATCGTCAACTACGCTGCCAAGTACGACTTACTTGTTTATATCGATCAGCGCACGCTGGATTTTGTGGGCTGGAAGCCTCGCCACGAAGTCACCCCCGATCTCCTAATCAGCCTTGATGCAACAGCCGATTATGTGTTCAAGGACATAAAGGCGTGCCTGTGGCAGCATGTTCGCTTCGAGACCAGCTATGGCAACCCTGATCCCCGGAACTCATGTATGCCTTTATGGGCGTTTTGCTCCAACTTCGATCCGCTCGACGAGCGTCCGACAGCGGAGCACATCGCTGAACTACGAAAAGAGCTCGGGCTGAGCGATATCATGTGGTACTTATCGACTTCCGCCTGATCCTGAGACCAAGTTTCATTGCAGTTGAGCGCTTCTCCGCTTTCTCTTTTTGCACACGGAACTAATATTTTGACTCGCAGTTGCTGTCGCTGCCATCGAAGAGGTTGAGCACGGCCTCCACAATTTCCTACTTTCTCGCTATCTGACACGTGTACATCTACATCAATGTGATCGTTAGCGGCGGTGACCTTGAAACGTTATAGCAAGCACCTCAGTCACCCCCTGGCCAACACTATATTAAGTGTAACTCCTCCCCTATGTCATTCTACCTAACATACCCCAATTTGCTTAGTCCGTTCCAAGGTGACACCGCGTCCATGGTAGCACCGGCCAGGCTCGGTGACAAGCCATGTTGACGCTACCAAGGATGATAGCAAGTGTGGTCTGTAAGCCAGATGTGCATAATGCAAAACGCTGCTCTAATGTCGAAAGGGTCTCGAGGCTTTAAGCCGGAGGTGCCGATTGCTGCAGTAGCGGCTCTAGCTCGATCATGACGCCACAGCGCGAGCGGTATGATACAAGATTGCTCACATCGAGCGACTATATACTGGTGGGTCGCGGCAAACCATATCGATACCTAATCCCCGGTATCCTCCCTCAAGCATGCGCACATGCCTTCACCTCATTCACGAGGAGTTTCCGTACATCTTAGCTAGCATAGCTAGCATACTGTGTCATATGAATGATACTCATATGACCAATACGTTCAGGAAAGGGAGGTTTTTTCCCTGGTATTCCAATATAAATCACCATAGGCGGGAAGGTCAACACGCTTAACGAGTTTCCGTGCCCTGGGAGGACAGAGAAAACCAAACTCCCGAGCATAATATGCTCTGCCAGCGTGAGTGCTCGCGAGTGTCGATGCAGCCAGCGAGGGAGACCGTGAGCACAAACCCGGAGTTTCCCGGTTTCTCTCCTGCCAACGTTACGGTCTGGAGGTCCTGCTACTGTCTCCTTGCCATATACACTGAACCGTTGACATGGCTTCTCATGAAGCTACTATGAAAGTCTCCTCTACCCCTCAGACCGAATCTGGTGCTACCACCGACAGCCAGTCTCAAATTATCCATCTACCCTGGTATCGATTTCTCCTGCTTCCGGAGTCTGAGCAAAAGGACCTGGTACGTGGCCCCGTATTTAGAATTTGGACTTCTGTACCAAGTGTTCTTGACGTCCAGGATGAAATGGCAATTCTTTCAACATTTGAGCCCCTCGACCATCTACCCCAGGAGCTCGACGGGAGCACCGGCACCGAAACGCCGCTGCCGGAGCTATTCCTTGGCATACCTCTCGACACCGACATGATTTTCGACTATGCGTATAAATACGAGCTCTATGCATACGTAGACAAGAGGACGATGGGTCCGCTGGGGTGGGTTCCCCCGGAAGAGGTCACGTCGAACACAGTCATCAATGTCGACTCTACAAGGTATCAGGTGTATGACGATATCCAGGAGTACCTGTGGCCGCACGTTACCTTTAAGACGGGGTATGGCAATCCCGATCCCAATATGCCGTTTGTTTCCATCTTCTCCCTTTGCTCCAACCGGGATCCGCTCGACAAGCGACCGAGTGCGGAGAAGATAGCAGAAATACGAGCGGAGTTCGGTCTCAAGGAAGACCCTAAATGGTACTTGTCCATGTTCGCATGACGCACGCCAGCGAAATGCGGAGTTGCGGGCGTTCGTCGACGCTGTTCAGAGTTGTCCTCATGGCATGCGAGGTTCTGATTCATCAGGAAAAATCGGACTATCGAAAGAGTCGCTTATTGGGTACCGAAACCCTCTAAAGCTACTAAATGAGCACGTTTTAGTACGTTTTAGGAGGTTTTTATCAATTCCGGGTTTTCCTGATGTTGTTGATGTATGCAAATCTTGATGCTTTTGTCGTGTGCTCATACCTTACTCAGTTATATGTGCAACGTATACCCTGCGATTCATCGCCTTCCTCCTCCAATCTCACAGACGATTAACGGCGAGACTTGGACACCGGCTCTGGCGAGCGCCGATTCGAAACGTCAGAAGACGCCACCCCTGATACAATCTCAAGCTTAACTTGCGAATACTTAGTGCGATGGAAGAAGGGTACAGAGATCAAGGCGCAGACGCGCCAGCAATGCTTTGCACTATGGTACAATGGGGATTTCTACATGTTCAGGTGTCGCGATGATGCGAGTGCATCGTGAGTAATACGATAACTGATGATAGAACTATGCGCGTGGATGGGGTGTCGTGCTCTTTGTTCGTCTGCTGTCCGTTGGAATTTGATGGTGCTGTTATGTCGACACCTGAGCATCCACTCCCGGAGACTTCGCGACGTTCAACTCGACACGCACGTACATGTTCTAGTGCATCGGGCCCTTGAACCCCGAATACTTGCTCATCGCGCGTATCTTCGGCCCATATTTCCACTTACGACATCAGTCCAACCAATCAACTCCACGCCCTCTCACACCCCACTCGTCGCAACGACGAAAAAAAAGGCACTCACAGCACCACCAGAACGGGATCATTGCGATCGAGATCCCTCCCAACACGCTGCACGCCTTGCCGACTCCCAAGTTCCTGGAAAACGTGCTCGCAGAAATCGGGAAAGCGGCGCCGAGGCAGGGGCGGAAGAGGTCGTTCCAGGCAAACACGCTCGCGACGTGGAGCGGGTAACAGTCTTGGTGTAGTTGAGCTTCGTCACCTGGAACCACAAGAGGGCGAGGATGAGGAGGAAGAGGAATCTTGCAACCAGGACCGATGACGACCACGACCATGGCTATGGCGACGACGACAATCAGGAGGATGAGTACGACCACTGTCATGGATATAGATATTGCGATTGCAATGACTTACGCAGGCGTTGCGGGCAGAGATACAACAAGGATTACCATATCATCGCGACCACGACGAAGTCAATGATGAGGACCACTACTGAGATATGTTTCGGTAATCTCTCGTGCATATTGGAGGCGATGGCCGGCAGGGAGAAGACGTGTTAAAGGGCGGCCATATTCACAGAATCCGTGGCAGTAACGGGCATATGGAGCGAGAGGGTGCGCAACAGACGGGGGAAACGCCCCATCATGGGCAGTCGCCGAAGATGCGGATGGCGAGCGAGTGACCAGACGAATGTGCAGAGGAGACCTATGTGAGGAGAGAAACATTCATTAGAGCTCAGCGCATTAGGGGATAAGGTGCATGGTCTAGGAGAGGAAGACGAAGGAAGTGCACCGGTGAATACTCGCGGACGTAGTTCTAGCCCTCTTGCGCGAGCAGCTCATGCTTTCCTGTTCTGAACGGTGCAAAGAACTCGGTGACCGTATCGAGCCCCGCACGGGCTTGCGCCACGTCGATATAGATTGGCGACCACCGTGTTGCGCACAGCGTTCGTCATCCTAAATGTGAGCTTGCGCCCGGTACGCCCCTTTCTAATCCCGATCTCGCATTCGATTTGCCAATGGACACTATCCTGGTGCTTTATGCTGAAATTGCAGGACTTGGTTACTCAACGTACTCAACGCAGCGCGCCGGACAGTCGAAGGTTGGGAGGTGGACGTAGACGACGTGGCTGATGCTGTGGTCGCTGGAGGTGCGCCCGACGCAACCAACGCGAAGGGAAACCGATCGACTTCAGCGGCGGAGCCAAATGTATCATCGTTAAGCCCTTCAGCTGCTGCTGGCAACTTGCGCTTGCGGGCTGTATGACGGAACTATAGTCACTGATAGTCCCAAAATATGTTCTGAGCAGACGCGGGTAACGCACCGAGGGCCATGGCATAGAGAGCGCGGCGCTGAGCTCCGTGCGCTAAGTACTCCTTAGTCGAGCGCCGCATGACCGAGTTAATCGAGAGCGAGCGAGAAATATGGGCGGGGAGGTCGCCAAGGACAGCGTGAACCTGCGTGAACCGGCGCACTAGCACGACCCTTTTCCCACGCTCGCGCCTCATACGGCGTTCAAGACGCCGTCTACGCCAATTTACTGGGCTGATCGGTGCTCTTCCCTGGTATTCTTGTTCCTGCCCTTTTTAGATCTACATTGTGCTGCGATGCAATCGTATCCAGAAAACTCCCAAACGGCTCTTTCAGGAAAGGCTACGTGGGATCCTCCATCCGATATGGCCGTTTTCCTGCCCTAAATGACTAGCTCATTGGTCGCTTTTAGGGAGTCTGGATCAATTTCCGCGAACAGACATCTGCCCCTTTACGCACTACTACTTGATGTATGTGTACAAATCGAGGAGAAAATAATGCGTGCAGACGCTGCGTCCAGCAGCACCGTACCCCTTGGCCGGAGAGAAATGCATGAAGTCGGAAGACACAATTTGAAAGATAATGTGTTAAGATGATTGGAGCAATTAATGCCCTACCCTCTAATTAGAGCATTCATCGCGATGAAGGTACAAGTCCTGCTAGATCACTCTCTGGTTTGACGCAATCCACCGCTGCGATAGCAGAGGGTCTGGCGTGAACCAGTCTCCCTGAAGCTGTAGTGTTTTCCCACGCTGTAGCAGGATATACTGAATTATCTGCATGAACTCCGTCGAGAATTGGTCGCCTTGGGGACCAAGTAGCTCGTATACTTTCGAATAAAGAGAAGTGGTGAGCTGCGGCTTTTCCTCCACAGGGTTAGGCTCCGGGGCTGGATGCAGACGCGTGTATCGACGGACCACCACTTGCGGCGACATGTCTGACCTCTTGAAATGCAACAATGAGAATGCGGAGCCGACGCAGCAAAGGACATGGATGTCGTTAGCCGCCGGATAGTAGTCGAATGAAAGGTGGGCCTGCTGCTTGACCTGTTTGTGCATCCTCTTCATGTCCTCCGCAATATCGTGGGATCTGTTGGGTCCAGGAGGTTTGGACGGGCGTTTGACCTCCGCGAGGAGTACAGGCTCGGACACTAGAGCTTGTCTCGAGTGCGAAAAACGGCGGACCTCCACCCCGAAGTCGGGCGAGCGGCGCTGAGCTGGAAGGGGCGCTCCATTCTTGTCTAGAGTCCCCTCAAGCCTCTCAACGGTGCACTGCGGGCAAACAAGCACGTTGTAGTCGTTCATAGACATCGCAAGAACGTTGAGCGTGCGGTCCCAAATCTCGTACCAGTAGCACTCCAAGTTGCGAGATGAGGCATAATCATTGGCCATGTTTAAGCCCGCGAAAAATCGGCCCCTCGTGAGCATCATGAAGCTCGAGCTCTCGGTGCGCTCGTAGAATTTACTGCCCTATGGACGACAATGGGCTTAGCTCAAGCATTGATACGGTCACGAAGAGGCACACACCAGTATTCTCCACGTATGAAGAGCTACGTACTTGGCAGTGTCGGACGCTGACTCGTACAGAAATTGGAGGAGGGTCTTGCTATCAGCATCGATCGATCTTCTAGTCTCGGTCTTCACCTGCGCAGAGCATTAATACATACTATCGTTGACCTGCGAGAGCAAAAACTCGCCTGGTTTCCGTCCAGTATCCTGACAAGAACCGTGTACGGAGGCATTGAATGAAACGGTATGCACGAGTAGTGCTGACCACTACGCATGCTGAGCACCGTGTTTTATACTGCGCTGCTGTAGATATGCTTCCATAAGTGAAAAGGAGTGTGGAGAAAGACAATTACATTTCGTTCCGCAGATAGGCCGATCGCAAAGAGTCCACCGTGCATCTATGCCGATCACCGGCAGTGCACATCTTCGGATCACGTATAGTCACAGATTACATCTCTCATGCTCCATTTCCGATTAGGAGATCCCTTTGTGACGAAAACTAGCGATGTTCACGATGCAGAACATCGCCTATGGCTGCATCAATTCTCGCGGGACTCAAGTTAGTGCAAAAGACCGCATATTATATTTCCAAATAAACGCAGCCCATTCTCACAATATCGCAGCCGCTCTGATGCATATGCCGTACAATTGTAGCTCAGTCATTGGGTGCAAGGCCTTTCTATGAAATTTCGACGAATATCAGCAGAAAGTGCAGTGTTACGCGGGTACAACATCGTGCCAGAAGTATGCCTGCAAGATCTTGTCACTGGTCAGATTGACGAAGCAAGCGAAAGAGGCCCTATTATCCGAAGTCAACACGGAGATAAATTATCTTCGATTCGCGAATGCGAATGAGGCACATCTCATCACGTACGCAATACTCACACCGGTATCAAGACTTCCCTATAGAGCCAATCCATAATTGTCAGTCCCTTTGTTCTGCATAAGGACGGATGCTTGCAGGTTCTTTTTTGCCCATGAACTTCGCTCTGCGTTAAGCGAGACCGGCAATCGCGTCGGCTTCCCGCAGAGGCCCGCCATTGTTCCAAAAAGGATCAGTTGCTTATCATGGCTCCATATAGAACACGGAGTGTGCGGAGCCGGTCGGGGAAATTCAGGTGATATAGGGCAATAAGTACCAGACAATGGATGCGCCACACAACCGATCGAGAAGGTGTGAGCGTGAGAATTGTACCTCACAGTCATGTGACACGCTTCACCAACCATGGGTCACGCGCGAGCTGGTCGCCAACCTACTTATGAACCCCCATCTCTGCCGAGAACCATAACCACAATCGCTATGTCGCTAGCAGATTACGACAACGACGGCGCTTCGCAAGAGCCCCTCGGTGGGCTATCAGTGCAGCTACCGAAACGCACTGGCCCAAGGCACGAGCCTGCTGTTCTGGATTCTCCTTGGTACCAGTACCTCACCCTACCAGAACAAGAGCGGAGGGGCGATGTACGCAACTTCTGACGTGAAATTATGCCTGACGCTGATTTTGTTATTCTTACAGAAGTCGGAAATCTTGTCGACATTTGAGCCGTTCACTCAACTACCACTGGAGCTCGATCCTCACTCAGACACCCCGAAGTCGAAACCCCCGGAGCTGTTCCTTGGCGTACCGCTCGACGAGGACTTCATCGTCGACTACGCTGCCAAGTACGACCTATTTTCCTACTTCAACGAGCGGACGATGGATTTTGTGGGCTGGAAGCCTCGCCACGAGCTCACCCCCGATCTCGTAATAAACGTCGACTCGACGGCCGACTTCGTGTTCAAGGACATAAAGACGTGCATGTGGCATTATCTTCGCTTCGATCTTGGCTATGGCAATCCTGATCCCCGGACCTCGTGTATGCCCTTATGGGTATTTTGCTCCAACTTCGACCCGCTCGACCAGCGTCCGACAGCGGAGCAGCTCGCTGAACTGCGAAAGGAGCTCGGGGTGGACGATATTATGTGGTATTTATCTATGGACGCCTGATCAAAGACCAAATGTTATTGCAGTTGAGCGCTTCTCCGCTTTCTCTTTCTGCACACTGAACTGATATTTCTTACACTCGCAGTTGCTGTCGTTGCTATCGACGAGGTTCAACACGGCCTTCACAACTCTCCGCTTTCTCGCTCTATCTGACACGTGTACTTCTACATCGGTGTAGTAGTTAACGACTATGACTGCTACACGTTATACCAAGAGTAGTCCGTAAGCCGGACGTGTATTGTCCAAGCGATGGCGAAAGGGTCTCGACTCAAAGGCAGTACGGCTACTGATATATATGACTATGATTGGAGCGCATGTTCTTCCTAATCCGCGATTGGTTCAGTTGACTTGTGTTACGGCTCGGGCGAGCACCGTCGACTCGAAACATCCAAGGACGCCGTTCCTGATACGTTTTAATGGTTATTTGTGTGCGATGGAAGCAAGGTACGGCGATCAAGGCGCAGACGCGCCACTGATGCTTTGCAATACTGTACAATGGGGATTTCTACATGTTCGTTTATGTGTCGCGGTGATGCAAGTGCATCGTGAATAATACAAGGGTACTTTGTTAAGAATCAAGTATGGGCGTGGACGGGGGTGTGGCAATACGATATCTGCTCGTCGTTCGTCGACCGTTGAATGGGATATGTTGGTTCGTTAATGGCGTTCTGCGTTACAACATGGAATATGTCGACACCTGAGCATCTACCCCTGGAAACTTCGCAACATACGTATATGTTCTAGTGCATCGGGCCCTTGAACCCCGAATACTTGCTCATCGCGCGTATCTTCGGCCCATATTTCCACCTACGACATCGGTCCAACCAATCAGCCCCACGCCCTCTCACCACCCACTCATCACAACGATCAAGAAAGAAAAAAAACGAAACTCACAGCACCACCGGAATCGGGATCATCGCCACCGATATACCCCCCAGCACGCTGCACGCCTTGCCGACTCCCAAGTTCCTGAAAAACGCGCTCGCAAAGATCGGGAAAGCGGCGCCGAGGCAGGATCGGAAGAGGTCGTTCCCGGCGAACACGCTCGCGACGTGGCGCGGGTAACAGTCCTGGAGATAGTTGAGCCCGGCCTGGAAGACGAAGAAGGTCCCGATGGAGTAGAACAGCGTCGCGATGATCGGGACTGGGCGAGGAGCAAGACACATGTTGAGCATGTGGAACGGAAGAAATGAGGTCAACTCACCGATCCAGTGTATCGACGCGCGCGAGGTCCAGCCGAACCAAAACAGCGAGAGGGGCAGGAGGATGGCGCCGACGAGGGCCGGGGGTAGCCGCGCTTCGGGCGGAAAATCTAAAGGGGGGGGGGGGGCACGCGTGAGCGGCGCATTCACATTGCACGGCAGCGGGCCCCTCTACGCACTTTCTTCCCCATTCGCAAACTTGGGCCGCACGTAACGATTCACGTACGGCACGAGGAGCGCAAACGCAATGATCGCGCCGAGGAACAAACCCTACCATCAAACATCAGCCCCAACGTCCTTTGATCCACCCCAAAAAAAAAACACTTCTACGGAGACGGAGGAGAAAAAAAGCCCACCATAAACGCGAGCCCGTTCTCGCCTAGGTTGAACCCATATATCTCCACAAAGATGATCTCGTAGCTCGAGATCCAGATATACAGTATCCCTGTGGGTATATTCATACCACCGATCAGCAACTCCCGCTCACCCGGGGAAACGTTTTCCAACACGCACCGTAAAGCAGGGCGATGTACACGTTCCACGCCGCGACGATCGGCTCCGTGAACCCGAGGACGAACGGCCGGACGAGCGTCATCATCGCCACCTCCCTCGCCGTGAAATGCTCCGCCTCGAGCTCGCCGTGCGAGCGCAGCGCCTCATTCCCCGTCAGCCGACGCAGGCGCACCGCTCGTCGGTACAGTATCCTGTAGAGGGTCCCGAATAGAGAGATCAGATAAAACGGAATTTCGACTCGAAGGGTACATTCAGAGCAGAAGGGATAGCGACGCACGCCGACGCGCTCGTCTCCGGCAACAACACGGTCAGAAACGCGAGCGAGAAGCCCGAGAGCCAGAGCAAGATCCAGATCGTCCACGTCCAGCCCTCGGCCTGCGCCGCGAACCCGCCTATGAATTCAGCCCATCCCAGCGTTTCGGTGTCAGCCCGCATCTAACGAAGTCCGGGCGAGGGACACACGTACCGAGCAGCGGTCCGAGCACGGGCCCGCTCACGGCGGCGCAGCCCCAGAGGCCGATCGCGATCGCGCGGTCGGCGGGGCCCCACATATCCGCCAGACTCGCGCCGCCGGTCGCGAGCGGGGGCGAGCCTACGAACCCGGCCAGGAACCTGAGAACCGGTTGTGATCAGATTGGGGGGTGCGATGATGGGAGGAAAGGGGTGATGGGAGGGGCGGATTTCCGGCGTACCGGAGGGGAAGGAGCGCGCCGAGGTTCTTGCTGAGCGCGGTAGGCACCTGGAGGATGACGAAGAGGGCGAGGGTGATGATGTACGTGCTCGTCCGACCAAATTGCGGGATTTCGGACAGAGGAGAGAGAAACATGGGACCGATGCCGTAGCCAATGACGAACATCGTGATCCTGTGAAAGACTGCATGAGGCACGGACGTATATACGTGAGAGGGACCTATGTAAGTACCCAAGAGTCGCGGCCACATCCGACACGCCGAAGTCTTGGGCGACGTAGGGAATACCAGGGGAGTAGATCGCACTGTTGGCAGGATGATCGATACGTGAGTTCTGTACAAGATCAAGGAGAAAAACGTCACGCACGAGCCGATGTAGATTGAAAAGGTGATGAAGCAGATGTCGAACGTGACGAAACACTTCTTCGAGAACGACCACTTCACGTCGCACCATTTGTCAATTTGCGTCCAGGCGGTGGAGAAAGGAGCGAGCTCACGTTCATCGGACACTCTGGGTCATCGGGGCCGTACCAATCGACGGTCCTCAACCATTGCGGATCGTCCCACATCTCGACCTCCTCGGGCTTCGTGCTCTCCCTGTAGGCGACCTGCTGCTTCTCCGCATCCACGCCGGAAACCGGGCGCGACTTCGATCGAGCAGTTTCGGTGTTATCCACGAGCGTAGGCGCCCGAGTGCTCCGCCCCTCCGACGATGCACGGTCAACGTCGAGCGTTGACTGATGTTGTTGCTGTTGCTGCTGCTGCTGCTGCTGTTGATCTTGCTGCTGGTCCTGCGCACGCCGGTAGCGCGCCGGCAGCTCGAAGCCAGGCTTCTCCTCGGCGTACTGCAGCCATCGCCGTCTGGAAGCGTAGTAGACCGCCTGTCCGAGGAAGGACTCGCGTACGAGATCGAACACGGGCATATTAAACTTGTCTCTTCAGGACCCTGTCGCTCGCGTACCGGGGGGGGGGGTGTGTCGGTGGGGAATATACAGCTTGGAAGTAACCAAGTCATTCGGCCTGAGGTGTTAACGCGGATATTTGACATGGTTGGTCATGTCTGCCCGGATGTCGTCGGTCCTGTGTCAGCGGAGCGATGGGCGGGTTGCAACCTATGCGGATCCCGGAAGAGGGTTGAGCGCGCGCTGGACGTGACGTCACGCGCGGCGGGTTGATGCGCCTATTCCCGCGTTTGGGTCATTTCGTGCCTTTTTCGGAACAGCTTCCTTGCGCACCATAGGTCGCGTCGTCCAAGGCCTCATCGATGGGCAACATAGCTACATACCAAGGCAAAAGAAAATCATTGGAGGCAATACAAGCTTGCGTTCCAATATAATCAATCCAAACTAAGCATGGGTGATCGCGCTCCCTATTCCTACAAGCAGATCCACTGCGTATATACAAACCGGATGCAACGGACAGAAAGGAAAGCAATCGCGAAATTCATCGCCAATATCGAGGAACAAGACATACCGAGCCCTAATATATTTCATAGCATCGGAAAAAGAAGAGGCGGAAAAATAATAGCCTTGGTCGATCCCATCTAAGCCGGTGTTTCTACGCGATGGTCGACGCACTTCGACAGCTGGAACCTATCGCGAGGCCGTCAGCGTCAGCTCCTCTCTCTCGAGCCTGCCACCCACCAAACGTCACAATCGGTCCCTCTCTCTCTAGTGCATCGCCGGCGCGCCCGCGCCGTACCCCGACCACTTGCTCATCGCCCTGATCCTCGGCCCATACGTCCACAACACCCACGGGATCGGGATCATCGCGACCGATATACCCCCCAGCACGCTGCACGCCTTGCCGATCCCCAGGTTCTTGAAGAACGCGTTGGCGAAGACGGGGAACGCGGCGCCGAGCACGGACCGGAAGAGGTCGTTCCCGGCGAACACGCTCGCGAGGTAGCGCGGGTAGCAGTCGTGCAGGTAGTTGAGCCCGGCTTGGAACACGAAGAAGGTGCCGATGGAGTAGAACACCGTCGCGATGATCGGGACTGGCGTGCGAGTCGCGTCAGTATTTCTTTTAGGGGAAGAGGAGAGCGGGAGAGAGAGCGAGAGGAAGGACGTACCAATCCAGTGGATCGACGCGCGCGCCGTCCATCCGAACCAGAACAACGAGGCGGGGAGCAAGATCGCGCCCACCATCGCGGGCGGCAGACGTGCCTCGGGCGGGAAGTCTACGACGAGCCAAGATACGTCAACCGGCGATCCAAAAAACCGACGACACCGACGCGGAGGACTCACCCTCGTCCCCGTTCGCAAACTTGGGCCGGATGTACCGGTTCACGTACGGGATCATGAGGAACAGGCCGATGATCGCGCCGATCGCCACACCCTGTTAAGCCGCAACGCCCTCCCGTCAGCCAAACCGGTACACAGCAGAAAGACAAGGGAGAAAAAAAGGGAGAGGCTCACCATAAACGCCAACCCGTTCTCGCCCAGGTTGAACCCATAAATCTCGATAAAGATGAGATCAAAGCTCGAGATCCAGATATACAAGATGCCTTAGAATATAACCCAGAAATCCGCCATGTCAGCACAACGTGCTATCACCCGCTTTCATTCCACGAGAAAAGGGCAAAACGCACCGTACAACAGCGCGACGTACACGTTCCACGCCGCGACGATCGGCTCCGTGAAACCGAGCACGAACGGCCGGATCATCGTCATCTGCACGACCTCGTTCGCCGTGTAAAACTCGGCGTCGAGCTCGCCCTGGGACCGGAGCGACTCGTTCCCCGTCAGCTTGCGCAGGCGCACCGCGCGGCGATACAATATCCTGATCGAGAGGCAGCACCGCGGGATGAGCGTCGTCGCACAGGGCCGTTCCGATGACTGAAAACGCGGGGGAGGGGGGATGGGGGGACTTACGCGGACGAGCTCGTCTCGGGCAAGAACACGGCGAGGAACACGAGCGCCGCGCCCGCGAGCCACATCAAAATCCAGATCGTCCACGTCCACCCCTTCGCCGTCGCGGCGAACCCGCCTGTCGAGCACCGCGATCGCCTAGTCAGCGGCCATCTGGGTCGACATCACATGCGGAAGCACGCACCGAGTAAAGGACCGAGCACGGGCCCGCACACGGCCGAGCAGCCCCAGAGGCCCATGACGATGGCCATATCCGCCGGGCCCCACATATCCGCCAGACTCGCGCCGCCCGTCGCGAGCGGCGGGGAGCCGATGAACCCTGCCAAGAACCTGTTACGCCGCAAGTGTGCCACGGGATCGTCAGAAAGGATGAGAGGGGTGATGGAAGGCACGTACCGGATCGCGAGGAGCGTGCCGAGGTTCTTGGCGAGCGCGGTCGGGATCTGGAGCACGACGAAGAGGAAGAGGGTGATGATGTACGTGCTCGTCCTGCCGAGTTGGGGAACCTCCGAGAAGGGAGAGAGGAACATGGGTCCGATGCCGTAGCCGAGGACGAACATCGTGATGCTAAGAGGGTGTTGTCAGCAACGCGCGACATGATGGAAAGCGTGAACTACGTACCCGAGGGTAGCGGCTACGGGCGATACATTGAACTCTTCGGCGACGAAGAGGATACCGGGCGAGTATATGGCTCTGGAGGGTCGAGGTCTTTGAGCAGGGTAATGCCATGAGAAGAGACCTGGGACTCACGATCCAATGTAAATGGCAAATGTGATGAGGCAAATATCGAACGTCACGAAGCACTTCTTCGCGAACGACCACTACACGCGGAACCGGTCAAACCGAGCGCGAACCGAAGGCAGCAGACGGGGCGACGTACGTTCCTCGGACACTCCGGGTCGTCCGGTCCATACCAATCGACGGTCCTCAGCCACTTCGGATCCTCCCACTTCTCCTTCTCCTCGTCCTTCAGCTCCGCCTGGGACATCACCGCCCGCTTCTCTGCGTCGCTGCCGGGCACCGGCGGCGCCTCCTGGTCGGCCACTAACGGACGTTCGCCGTCACCCACGAGCGTCGGCGCGCGCGCACTCTTCGCCGCCGTACTCGCCTGTGAGACGTGCGACTGCGTGCGTGTCACCTCATGCCCGCCCTCCTGCGACGGCTTCTCGTCGTCCTTGCTGGCCTCGAGCTGACCAGCCTTGACGTACTTGGCGGGGAGGACGAACCCGGGTTTTTCTTCCTGGTACTGGAAAAGGCGGTGGCCGGAGAAGGAGTAGATGCATTGGCCGACGAACGACTCGCGAACGAGGTCGGGCACGGGCATCGTCGCTACGTCAAGTCAGAAGAGGCAAGAAGGGGGGGAGAGGAGAGGATGCTCGAGCCGGGTTGATGGTAACCCCCGGTCATTTTGTCCTTGTCGCGCTGGGAGGTGTGTGTGTGTTATTTGCTTTTGCTGTGAAAGAATCCGCAGATCGCGGCGCGGGGTTCGCGTTGGAGGAGAAAAGAAATGGACGGCGTTGCTGACGTCAGGTCACCGACTAACCGTCGATTACCGTGTTTAGTGCGAAATCTAGCCATAAAAAGAAGATCGAGGTATGCTTCCGAAGCTGATGATAGATTTCGCCTGGAACAGATTATACAAACACGGCTTATCAGATACGAAACGGCATCAGCACTGGGTCCTGCGTGAGACGCCATCCGGAGGTGCCGCTCATCTTCATCAAACCCCCGACCTCGCCGACTATACGCCACCCTGCCTGCATCACCTTACACCAGCTTCTCGCTGATCCCTGCACGATGCATACCGCGTTATCTGCACCCTCGAATCAACCACAGACCGTCGACTATGTGTTCCGTTGCCAGGCCTTTGAACTGATGAACACCTGCATCAGTCCAAACGGTGCGTTGTGGGTATGGGATCAGGGATTCTCAGTGTCAGACCCTTTACCTTCTAAAAGGAAGGCGTTTGATAGCGCCACGCGCAGCCCCAATACCGCCAACAGAACAAATAATACTCTGCGAGGAATGTCAGAGGCCCGGACCCACCTTTTAGGAGCGCCCAACGGACCGCCGAGGGGGTTCGAGACGCCAGAACGATTCGTCCAGACTTTGAATTTATATGTGCGTTCCATACACGTTGTACCTTATCGTCGACCGTATGACAAACGGCCCCATCGCAACAATCACAGGCCGCGATCAGTTCCATCCGTCCTGTCCTCTCTCTCGCCATCGAGCTGTTGAAATGCGACTTGGGCTCACACCATGTCAGCCCGGACTCATCCGACGACACAGAAGTCTCACGGCTTGCTAAATATGGTCTAGGTACAACAACAGTGGGGTCCGGTAACTTGAGTTGAAAGACGGTGGAGCGTTTCGCATTGAAGGCATGAATTTGATGCATGTCCATGTAACGTGCTCATCAGATGTTCACTCGCAGGACCGACTGATCTGGCCCGTGCTCCGTGATACGTACTCACCGCGATCCCGATTCCCGAGTCGGGTGCGTGCCAGTACGCACAGGAAACCATAGCAATGGTACAGAAGCGAGGCCAGTAAAGCGCCGCAACTGGTCCCGGTACTGAAGCGCACGAATTCACAGAAAACGAGGATGGACGAGCGACTCGGTGCGTGTACCTCGCCCTTTCGCCCATGAAGTCGCGACTGACGTTCCTTTTCGCTTGCGATGAAGAGATGGCATATAACGCAACGCGTAATCACCGCATGCGGAACTCCATCGACGTCCGCGTGAAATGAAGCTTGCCTTCGCTCTACTACAAATTTCCGTTACCCATAGAATCCGTCGATAGAGTTTATCGACTTGCGGGGTATGCCCGTCTTTGACAATGGTTGACTCAACACCGAGACGGAATATCTGCGACAACTCGATGTTTTTATTTCTACCTTTGAAATCAGTTCTCGTCGATACTGTACATCAAGAACGGCGACACTACGATAACCTCAAACCTACGGGAACGATGGCTTGGTGGAGCATGAGTTTCGTACGTATCGGAGGGAAGATAGGATACCTTACCCTGACATTACGAATGTTCGACTGCGTGGAGCGCGAGTATCGTCCTTTCCAGCTTGTCGAATCGCTCCGAAATGTTTTGCTCCAGCTTGTCAACGCGGTGCGAAATCTCCTTCGCCTGCTTTGCGCGATCGTCTCTGAGATCGCTCACCGTGCGCTCGAGTGCGTCGATTCTGTCGATCATCGTCCAAACCGGCTCCGTTAAATCCGACGGAAAGAACACCGCGGCATGCCTCCAGTGGTGTTCCTGTTTCTCCTTCGCCTCGTCGCGGAGTCTGTTATTCCACATATCTTCTGACCGGTGACCGGCGCGCTCCTTATCGTTGCATGACACGCAGATAAAGACGTGTTTATCTAGGTATCATTGAGCGGAGGGAACCAGCCCCGGCTGGAGATATGCTCACCGTACTGCAGGCAATCTACGCACATCCAGCACGGCCGTTCCGCTCGCTTCCTACAGACCTCGCAACATGTCGATGTGGGGACGGAGTTGCTGGTTTTGGTAGAGTCATCTACAGATGCTGTCACGGAGCTTTCCGCGTGGGCCCCAGTCAGAAATTGAGTCTGGATCAGGTTGTTGCCCTGAGATATTGCGATCCGTGCTTGGCGGTAGATCTTGAAATATTGATCGGTGCTGTAGGCCCAGCGCAGTTCCAGCAGGTTATGGGAAAGGATGTGGTTCTTGTTGTCTGCTTCTCTGTGGCACGGTGAGCGCCAACAAGTCTTACAAAGGTCCACCGTATTGAAGTTCTCGTTCTCGGAACATTGAATGCAGATGAAGCGAGAGCCGCGCAGTCGATCGCCACATGAATCGCATGTGATGCTGGCGGGAAAAAACAATGGTGAGCACTGATTCTCCGGGTTATCAGAAGCGCATGTTACCTTACGTGGACCAGCTCCCTGCGGTTGCGTAGCACGAGCAATGACACGTAGAATCTCAAGTCGCGAGGGTAGATTGTCATAGCCAACGCATCAAACCTTTCGCGTTCCTCCCCCGTGAGCACCCTCGACAGGTTCTGCACGAAAAGCTGCAGATAAGAGTCGCGTGCTTCACGCCGGCTCTCCAGGGTCGACCAATGTAGAGTACGCGAAGCTGCTCCTGCCTTGATGGCGGATAACGCATAGCGCCACAGGTTCTTCGCTCTTTTACTGCCATCGTCCGACTGCATCTTCGATGCCCCAGCGAGAAACCATGTGTCCGGGCGGCGTTGGAATTGGCACTCGCCTCCATACGGAAGTCCCCACCCGGGTGGAGTTTCTAGATCGAGAGAGCCGATGTCAGGGCCCCACCTCCCTGTGATACCGTGGATCGAGTCGAATGAGGCCACATAGAGCCATGATAGATTCTGGTTCAGGTATCTCTTAATCCAAGCGAGTTGCGTGGCGCCATAGCGACATCCGCTGACCGTGAACTGCCCGATAGCGTCTATTCCAGAGCCGCTAAATGAACCGTCATCATTCACCAGGTCGATATTGAAGCTGGTGAGTCCATCCTTGATTCCGGTTTGATAGGTATAGTAGCCCGCCCAATGACCAACAAGACCTTGGGAATGCAGATTTGCACCCTCATTTGTCTTCTCGGTATTATCGTAGCACTGCAAGTCCGCAACGAGTGAGCCCCAGGTCTCCAGAGATTGGATTCCAAAGAAAGTGCTCTGTGGTGCTATAATTTCCTCGTGTCGTTCCGAGCTTGAGGAACCTAGTGTCGAACTTGTTCCTGGGTCCGAAGCGCCATCCGCATTTTGCGGATCAGGAGACTCGCCCCTCCCGCTCTCGAAGCTTGCGCCATATTCTACATATTCGACATCGTCCATAATGTCATAGAACGAATTGTCGGCGTCAATCGTGTCTCTGTAGTATGAAGATGTCTCTATGGCGTCGTAATCGGCAATGTACCGATACTGCAATTATAAGTCAATACGATTGCAAAGCAATGAAGTGCCATGATGGAATATAACTCACCAAACCAAAACAGAATCTCGCGAAATGCTCCTCGGCGTGTATATTTTGAAGTTTGCAAATCGCTGCCAGACGGAGGTTCTTTCAACACTCTCATCTCATGAGCCAGATTATCGAAGCTGTACAGACCTTTCAAGGTATTCACCCTGGAGTTTGCCTCCTGTTGCAATATTTGAAATGAGGCCAGCAACATATTCAATTCATTCTCGTGGAGCAAGCTCTGCGTTCCTACTTTGATGACCTCCAAGGAGCGCTGAAGAAGAAGAAAGGATATTGGGAGCAGGGTCTGATAAAAGCGTTAACATTCTCAATGTTCACATCGCATATAAATGCATACCTTCTCCAAACGTTGGGATTGGGTTAGAAGAGCCAAGGTGCCGTTGTCGTCGATATAGTACAGAATGCTCGTCAAGATACGTTTTAAGCGGTTATATTCGGCGTCGACGTAGAGCTTGAATCGACTAAGAAGCCACACGTCTAAATCTGGTCCATCGCTGCTGTCATGCATGCCAGCTAGGAAACGTTCTGGAAGACGCAAGGTTTGCCACGACCCGACGTAAGCGTCCACAATTCTCCGGTTGGCGGGAAGCACGTCTCTTGACACCTCGCTTATCTCTGAAATAATCTTGCGAATACGGCCCTCGTACCACTGCATTGTGATACGGAAACCTATTTCGAAGAATATAAGGCCGATTAGTTGAGGATTCTTCATCATAACATACCCGTGGTCCAATACGCTATCCAATGAGGAAGGCTATGAGCACGTTAGCGACAGTCATATGTATATGAATGTTCTGAACGGTAGATACCTCCATTCCGGTGGCTTCCCGTCCGTGAAGGCATTAGCTTCTGAGATGGTCACAAAAGAAGAGGCATCATCGTCTAGCGTCTCAAGCAGTGGTTGGACTCGCGTAATTGTCATGTATCTCAGAGCCCAAAGATCGTCCCGGTTTAGAGGCTCGATCTTGTACGCAATATCGGATACCTTGGAAAGCTTCTGCGCAGCCGTGCTGGGGCTAGAGGAATCTACGATATCACGGATTTTCTCCAGCGCTCGCTGCTCAGTGGATATCATCGTGTGGTATCTATCGTTGAAGTGGTTGCGTAAGGCCATCACCAGATGCTTTGCCTTAGCGCTGCCTTTCCAGCCCTGGTTCAATGCATCAGTAAGCTATCAGAAAAACAGAAACGATTCGAGCGGACCTCGTCATGCCAGACATGCCGTACATCCTGTCACCGATTGTTCAGTTTCATATTCTTGCGTGAGTGAGAGCCACATACCGGATCTCTGATGCGCTTCTCCGTAGAAGTACCGAAGCTCGCTAGCATATCCGCAGTTTCTGATATGACCCGGTCTGAGTTTTGGCGCACTGTGTCCTCGAGCTGCTTATACGCGCCGAGCTTGCGGTTGAACGCGGCGTCTTCCTTCTGTAGGAATGTATCGAGGCTCTCACGGAACTCGGTTCTCAGGGAAGAAATCTCGACCGCGAGATTTTCTTCTCGCGATCCTTTATCGCTTCCCTTCGCCAGCTTCGAGGTCATCGGCTCCGGCGCGAGCTTCTGTTGCTTGTGTAACAGTTCAGAGAGCAGCACATCGTCCGAGACGACCTCTTTGGCACCGTGTTTTTCTACGAACGCCCCGAGCTCGCGTTCGACAGATGACTGCAGCAAGGTGAACACCTTTCCCATGAGGCCGCGAAGTTGGTCAACTTTGAGCGACAGGAGACCGACAGCCTGATGCGTGGCTTCGGCGATCAGTGCCCCGAATCGAATGAGGCAGTCATGAATGGCTGTCTTGTGACGAAGAAATTCCTCGCTGATCTGGGTGAACTTGTCCTTCCACTTCGCGCTGGTCAAAACTCGTTCTGAGGAGAGGTCTAACTCCCGCTTTGTACGCCAAGTCACAGACTCACTGATCATCCCCCTCTTGTGATATTCCGCACAAAGACGCGCGCAGGTCTCGATCGACTTCGCGGCATCACTGAGGCACTCTTTTAGGGACTTCTCGACCTCCGGTATCTGATCATCGGATAGATTCTTGATCCTGGTCGAAGCGGCAAACTGAGGCGCGGTGCACGGAACTTGGAAGATACTCACGAAAGCAGAGTGCTCATCATATCCTTCATCTCAATGCACAGCACCAGCGTCTTTCCATCGTTGTCGATCCTATCGATCTCCATCCGAATCGCTGCGTTGAATAATCCGACGGCAACTGTGTACCGTTGGTCAGCTGTACTTCAGAAGTTGGCTGCAAACGAAGGACTTACCTCCCAAAAAAGGATGAATTACGGCTAGCCCGCTAAGAAGTTGCATGATGACCTTGCTGTTCTCGACGAAGTCTCCAAATTGATCCTTCATTAACGTGAAAGTCGATGAAATCAGTTCGTTATCTCCGTTGTCCGCTTGGTTGATTTTTTCCACTGGTTCATCAGAGATTGGCGATTGGGATGCACACATTGTAGCTGGTGAACATACCAGCGGTATCGACCTTCGAAGAAACCTTGCTCTGAGCGCGAAAGAGATCTTCTGCTCTGCGGATTTCTTCGCCGGTACTAGAAAGGTTGGTCCCGACATCGTTGGAGGGGCGGGTGGCCATACTTCACTGGACTCCGAAAGAGGTTAGAACGGAAATCAAGGGCAATCCTATCGGATATAGACAGCTAAGCAAGCGCAACGGGCGCCTCGATGATGTCGGACGGGATTGGGCTATGTTTAGCGTATCAGTACACGGCATCGATCAGAGCGGGAGGCAATTGAAGCAAAGAATAGGGTTTTTAATGCTATATTAAGGTTGTATCAGAAGACATGGTGCCCACGAGCCGCCACGTAGAAGTTCACAGCGAGCTTTCTTCGCTGTCACACATGTACGGCACTGGAGCTCTCTGATGGTTTTGACGACAAATCGGGAGCCCAAGGTTCAATGGTAATGTCGAATAACTTAGAGGACCTTAATATAGGCGCATAATTAACTTGGAACCTTCCCAAATCAGATATGAGCCTTCGACTATACACAACACTGAACTTACTCACCACAGCAAGCGAGTGCCTTCATCAGGCGGCGAGAGTACAAATCGGAGATGATGAGATATGGGTATATCTGCTGTGCTATCGAGTTCTCAACAGCGACAGTGCATGCCCGACATGTCCCCGGTCGTGCTCCTATCGCTTCAAGTGTCATCGCATAAAACGCCATGCAACTGGATTGCCGTCATCATAGGTCATCACATGACACGCGGAACGGCGACGCCTCTTGTCAGCCCTCTTGTCTCTTCCGGTCAAGGCCACCAGATGGCGGCTCGGTTTGTTATCTCCTGCGATATCTCAGGGAGATGGTGCCCCGGTCATCTAGCTGTGCTACAACTGCAAATCAAGCATGACTTCTTGCTCACGTCTGGGTGGATGTGCACGCGTGATTAGCCTAGGCGCGCCCAATATATAGGGCGCTGCAGATCTTTTATTGCTTGCCGCGGCCGAGTCGCGGCCCGGTACAATTAATTGTAGTCTAAACGGATTACTTACTCCGTTACACGGGGGGACGTCATGTGGATCCGGTCGCTCGAGCAAGCTTACATTTACTCTCGCGGATCAAGTAGTGGCAAACTCTGCGTGCCCTTCTTCTCTCTCCTTCACCTTTATCCGTCCCATCTGGTCCGAAGCAGGCTCTCCCCCTTCCACAACGAACTTGCGGACATACGCGGGGAGGCCACGACGACGTTCCTAACGACACCACGCGATCGATTCTTCCGAGCTCTGCGGCTCATCTTTATACTCGTTGGACGTTCACGGGTCCCGCATCTCTCGTCGCCGACCGGCGGAAGGTCCGACTTTCTGCAGCTTTCCGTTCGTTCTTGGTTGTCCAGCGCCATATCGAAGAGCCCCGGGCCCAAGATAGTACCATCAGCGTGTGGATCCCGTCGGCGTTGCACAAGGCGATGGGGATCAGCTGAGCGAAGGATCCGGGACCTTCACTGGATGCATCGGACGCCCAATGTAACACCTGCTTTGATGAATGTTTCGTCCTCCTTTGAGCGAGCGTAGCCGGCAGTATATAAGCGTCGGTGCCTAAACATCACCATCCAATGCACATCTTGCGGCGCTCTCACCTCTTAATATGAAGCTCTCCATCTACATCTCAGCTGCCCTCGCCGCAACCTGCAACACCTTGGCTGCCAGTTATTCGCGAAAAAGCAATGTCGTCGGCAACGGCTTCTACGACTTTTTCTCCTTCCAGGCCGTCTCCGATCCCACCAACGGTCGCGTGTGAGAGGGCATGATCCACAGTCGTTCTTCCACGACTGACATATTCCCTCTATCGTTCACCAGCAACTACGTGAACAAAGCGACCGCGCAATCGCAGAACCTCACCTACGCCTCGTCCGACACCTTCATCCTCCGCGCAGACTACAAGAACACGTTGAGCGCGAGCGGGCCCGGGCGCAACTCTGCCCGGATCCAGTCCAACAACGCCTACTCGACCCACGTCGCGATGTAAGATTCCTTCTTCTGACATCGTCCTGAACGGTCATCGTTATAACCCACTGTGGGTTCGCAGCTTCAACATACGTCACATGCCCCAAGGCTGCGGCACCTGGCCCGCGATCTGGGAAGTCGGTCCAAACTGGCCAAACGAGGTGCGCTCGTTCTCCTCCGCTCATCTCATAAATCAGCCTGATAACAGGGATACGCGCCGCAGGGAGAGGTCGACATCCTCGAAGGCGTGAACGACGTCGGACCCAACCAAGCCACGCTTCACACCGGCGCAGGTGGGCGCGCCCACCTCCGCTCCTACTTTTTTTCGGTCCTCTAAAGCACGCGCTCCTTCCCCCAAGGCTACACCATGCCCTCAAGCCAGAGCGCTCAGAACGGGCGAGTGTCTCCTCCAATCCCTCCCTGGAAGCCACACGCATCGATCCCGACCTTACGTATATCACCCAGAATCCAAGTCGGCACCGACTGCGAAGGCAGCACCGGCTGCGGCGTGCAGGAGCGCTCGGACCGAAGCTACGGCCCGGCGTTCAACGGCGCCGGCGGGGGCTGGTACGCAATGGAGCGCACGTCGAGCTCCATCAAAGTCTGGTTCTGGTCCCGCTTAGACACCTCCGTCCCGGCCGAGGTGAAGAACGGCGCGACGTCCATCGACACGAGCAGCTGGGTATGGAATGCCTATTTTTTATTTCTACAGGAAAACGAAGCGAGGCTCAGACTGCCCGCGGGCTCTCTCGCAGGGCACCCCGTTCGCGTACTTCTCCGGCGCAGACTGCGACATCGACTCCAAGTTCGGCCCGAACCAGATCATCATCAACCTCACCTTCTGTGCGTCTCAAAAACACTCATTCAAGTCCCCACATCCCAGGAAATTCGACTGATGGCTTATATATTCATCGTGCAGGCGGCGACTGGGCCGGGTCCGCATACGGCTCATCAGGATGCCCCGGCACCTGCGTCGGTAAAGTTCCTTTTCCTTCCACCCACAACGATCTCCCGCTCACCCATTCGAACGAAAAAAAAAAAAGACTACGTGAACAACAACCCGTCCGCGTTCCAGAACGCCTACTTCGACCTCGCGTGGATGAACATCTACCAGTGACCTCTCTCCCCTCCCGCCTTCCGTCTTCATCTTCTCATCACCACCCGCTTACTTACCCGCGACAAATCGCCCCACTGCTTCTCCGTGTTCGTGTATTTGTATCCCTATCGATAACCCCCCTGCAGCGCTGTAGTATTGCTACTGTATCGTGGAGTGCCAACCCGTTTGTAAGCGCTGATGTAGCATCGGCTCCGCAGTAACATGTTCATAAGAGTCGGCCGACCAAAGGCCCTTCACAGCGACCGAGGCCGATGTACGGGGCTCTCTCTCAAAGGCGACTCAATAGAACGGTCCCAATGATATGCCTCAGAGGGTGGTTGATTTCACAACGTACTGGTTACACAAACTATACATTACACACATTTCGTCCTTCGTGCGTCGTCGTTGCAAGACAAGCAAAAACAAAAGGGGGGGGGAGGAGGGCGTTCTCATTTATTTGCCCTTGCCGGCCTTCTTGGCCGCCGTCCGCGCGCGGGTGATCTGCTTCTTCCACCCGTAGCACTGATTGCAAGCTGTCCAACGGAACAGACAACAACGCGACCCGATCGTCAGCGGACCGACGTTCGGACTTGATTCTCGTACATGGAGGAGGGGGGGGGGGCACGGGCGGAACGAGACGCGTACCCTTAGAGCCGTGCTTCTTGCACTGCCAGTCGCCGTCCTTGGTCTGCGTCGCCTGGGGCGCCTCGAGGCCTTCGCGATTTATCGGCTCGAACTGATAAGATCAAGACAAAAAACACGTAAGGCTACACACAGAAGGTATACAGAGATATGCAACGCGATGTGTGAAACGTACCCCGAAGAACGAGTCGTTCTCCTCGCGAAGGTCGCACGAGCATTCCGTGCACTGTGAATATGGTGGGTTCGCCTGACGACGGTACGACGGTTCGGGGGACGACGACGAAAACTCACGACTTCCTTGAAATGCGCGCTGCAGAAGAGGGCGTCGTTGAGCTCGACGGTTGGACCGGGCTCGACCTCGGTGGACATGGTGGCTAAACGGCGGGGGAGGTTAGGTGAGGTTGGGGGCGAGGGCGGGTTATCAGGTCGTATGCATAAAGGGTTGGGGATCACAGTGGGAGCCCCAGAGCGGGCGGGTATATATACCGGCTGAGTGCGAACCTTGCGAAGAAGGCAGTCGACGTAGTGTATTGGGGTCGTTACCCTTTGGGGCCAGGAAGAGACGAGATCCGGACGTGCCGCGTCCAGGTGACCAGAACCGTCGCCTCGGCGAGAGCTGGCGGGGCACTGGCAGACTCAGCGGGGTGGGGTTGCTTAGCAGGTGACTCTGCACCTTTGCTGCGCGAACTCAATCGCATTACGTAGCGTTCAGGCGCACCAACACGGGGAAGCGTTATGTGGTGGTTTTCTGTCGTTATTCCCCGCCGAAAAGAACATACATGAGGAGCGTCTTGGGCGTCGTCTCGCTGAATGCGTTCGGTGCTCACAGGGAGCAATCTAACAGCACCAGTCCAGGGAAAGGCGAGGAGGGGAGCAAAGGTTAAATTCAGTCCACGTGACCGTTAACCTCCTCCGAAGTGTCTGTCGTTCCCATGCAACAGTAAAAGAGTAGCAATACATTCGAGCTCGAAGGAAGGGAGCTCCTGCATACCACCACACTCGCCTCTGCCCAGACCTAGCTCTATAATCCTAGCTAGTCCATCCCATGCATCGGTATGTCCTCCATCAGGTCCTCCTCGGGCCCGATCATCCCCCCGAACCGATCGTCGTCCTTCACCTTCACAGCCTAACATCCGATAAACGGTGTCTCAGCATCAGCATTAACGGAGCAAAATAGAGACGGAGAGAGATCGAGCAAGAGACGATGAATAGAAAGAGAGGGGGGGAGGAGGGGACGACAGACAAAGAGTCAGAAGGCACGTCACCTTGGTGAGGTACTCCCTGCTCCCCGCCAACGCGCGGTCGAGCTTGGTGAGCAACAAGCCCTGCTGCTGCGCCCCGAGCAAGATCCGATCGATCTCCGCCTTCGACACCCGCACCGGCGCGTCCGCGAACGTCACCGTGCCCTCGGCCGACAGCGTCGCCGTGATCACGTCCTCGTCGATCTGGACAATCGGATAGATCAGTCCTTTCTGTTCCGTGTCCGAGAGAGGAGAATTCTGGTTTTTTTTTTTTTTTTTTGGGGGGGAGGGGGGGAAAGAGTGGAAGAGGTCCGAGCGTACCATGGAGACGACGGTGTCGCGCGCGCGCTCGACGTCGAGCCGGACGGCCTTGGCGATGTCCGCGAGCGAGAGCGAGAGGTAGGTGTGCGTGAGACCGCGGATGAGCCAGCGCGGGACGCGGTCGAGCGCCTGGTTAACGAGCCCGAGGTTATTATCCTAAAAAAAAGTGTCGTTATAAACGTCCAGCTCTATCTAATCCCGTCGAGAACAAGGCGCGTGAGAGAGGGGGGCAGGGGAAGAGAACAAGGAAGGGAAGATGGAAGGAAATAGAGGGAGGACTTACGTCGACGAAGACGGCGCGCTCCTTCTCCACTAGGCTCGCGAGCGCGTCGCGCTGCGCCGGGTAGTGCTTCGCGAACGCGCCGTAAGGCGAGTTCTTGAGCAGCCGGGTCAGCGCCGGGTGCGCGTACTTCGGGAGCGGCGTGGACTGTCGCCTTTGTTTTCAGCAACAGATCGAAGGAACCAAAGGGAGAGCGCAGGGATAGGTACGGGGACGGGGACGGGGAGACGGTGGCTGACCTTCCCGGTGGAGATGCATTGCACGAGCACGAGCTTCTTCACGGCTTCCCATTGGATCGCGCTCGCGGCCGTGCCCGGGGCGCCGATGCAGAGCTCGAAAAAGTCTCGTCTGGGTGACGGATCGTGTCAGCGAAGGGTCAGGGAGAGAGAGAGAGAGAGAGAGAGAGAGAGAGATGAGTGAGAGGAAGGGGCGGGGAGGGCAACTCACGCGTCCTTCCAGCGCTTCATCCTCGCCCATGCGCAGCCACCGAGGTAGTGGTACACAAGGCTGTCGGTGTATGACAGGTCGGAAAGCTCGAGCGAGACGTTGCTGATCGGCACGGAGAGCACGGGGAGGAGGAGCGCGGGCGGGAAGTGGTTCGCGAGCGTGCATGCCTGATAACCCAAACAAAACTTAGGGCGTTAGAGAGAAAGGAGGGGGCGCGTGAAGGCAGACGTACGTGAAGGAAGATGGGGTGGACGGTGGTTAGGTAGGATAGGTCGGGCGCGTAGCGCGTGAGGAGGTCGTATAGCGGTTTGATGGCGAGCTTGGCGCCGTTGTCGTTCACGCCTGAGGCGTATCTGAAGATCCCCCTTGCAAGCATCGTTACTGACGGAGCATGAGGATCGAGACGTGAGCAAAGGGAGAGCTGCGAGACGCTTACCGCGCTCGGGAGCAACCCTCGCCTGCTCCGGGTCGAACGTGGCGCAAAAGCGGGAGATGTGGTCAAACGAAACCGGTGCAGCGGTGGACGCCGTAAGCCGTGCGGACCTAACGGCCAGCAAGTCAAGTCAGCATTCATATTCTGAATAGCATCAGTGCCTCCAAGATAGAGAGACAGAACGGTAAAGCGACCGCAAGAGAGACGCACGCCACACCACTCACAGTATCCAGACGACGCCGAGCGTGTTGGTTTCTACATCGAGTATATCCAGCGGATCTTGATCTCCTGGTAATAGAGACGCGAGGAGGGTCTCCCTGACTTCCTTCGGCGCGAACTTGGTGAGCCATCGTGCGAGCGATTGCGGGTTGGAGGTGGAGGTGATCTGCTCGACGGCCGAGGCGAGCGACACCTGCTGATGGGCAGCAATGGGTTGCGACGGGCCAGCGCCAGTCGTCGTTTCGTCCTGCATAGCAGTCCTGGCTGAGGAGATCGCCTGAGATCACAGCAAGTCGAGCCCTCGCAGTGAACGCGGTGGTGGCGTCGAGGTCGATATGAAGACGCGACATCGGGCGCTTAATCTGTTTCGCCCATCAGACGCCCGTAGCCCTCCTTGAACTTGGACGTCCACCAAAAGCTACTTACGCGATTTGACGCAGCGCGGCTCGCCAACGACCATCGTCATGAGGCTGAGGACATCTGTTCTGTAGTAGTTAAGGCTTCCCGGAATCCAGTTCCCAAGCCAACCAAAGTCGAGCTTCAGCCCCCCGCTCCTGACAACTCGCCCTCTCTTAGCTAGGGTGGTGTGCGAACTGTTCATCGCACCAACTAGGCTCGTTACGAACGGTCTCTTGACATCCGTCATATTTCTGAGACATACCTACACATTTCCAGGTGATGGAGGCTCGCAAAAACAAAGAAGACGGTGACCGCCATGTCATGGAATTCTCCATCATGTTGCAGCGGCGATACGGATTATAGCGCGAGATTTTCGGACCACGACCAAGCATGAAACCTAAGCCGCGACAGCATGCAACGCATGAAGGCCGACATTGCTAAACGCGCAGAGCGTATCGAGGAGCTTGGAACTCATTGCAGCATGTCATTCGAAGACGTGACACGAACTCAGACTTGATATAGGATCTTACCATACGCCATGTACAAGGGATCCGACCCTCTCCGTGGATCCATAGGCACCTGCGTGCTCGCTATCGATTCTCCTCATGAAACGACATCTTCAAAAAGCAAAAATCGCTTCGGGACGGGGATCCAGATCTTCTGCTCGTTATTGAGTGGGAGCATTCAACAATGGTGCATCAGCGTCAACTTCTCCGCTGACGGATCATTATTATATTTCTCCTCGATGGCAATATAATCTAGACACTCTATGCAGGACGGGGGCGATAGCTAGAGGATCAGCTAGCCGGGGTGGCCACGCCCAGTGTTACAACGATGGCGTGTGACGTCATGTCACACTGCCTCCGGGTAAGTCGGAACAAGGTGCACTTCTGGCGCATTCGGACTTGTCATCGACCCGTACTGAAGCCCCGTGGCCAGTGCTTCGGTGGTATCAGGTCCGGAGCAGTGTAGACGTACAAGTCCTAATCAAGGTCAACGAGTATCGGGCTTGAAGTAAGCAGTACAGTGGCTGCACCTCGGTGTTGGGAACAGTGAACTCACTGTCGTCAAACTTTTGATTAGGGATCTTGACAATATCCGATGTTTTGCGCATGCAGTAAATGGTCTTGCAGGATGGTGGTAATTGGACAATCTTCGGCTTGGCATTTGCTAGCAAGCTGCTTTCGGTGTGTCAATCATCTCATCACGCCGGATCGACGACTAGCGACTAATGAGCGTCTTATCTCTCACGACGATCTCCACCGACCCCACTGGAAAGCTCTCGACTTCAGCTTTACCGCTTTGATACAGACAGACATCGCTTCACGCATTCTGACGAACTTCTCCAAAGCAGGGTGATGATTTAGGCTTCCACCATCATGACTATTCGAAGCTCTCGATAGGTGTCGTCGGATCTTTCGGTCAGATTCTTCCCATACCAAGAATTCAGTTTCACAAGAGCCGGCTACCTTTCTAGAAATCGAACTTGACCCGGCCACTCGGGGGCATTTCTGCTTCGATGCTCTCTAAACTTATAATCACGCGAAGCCCTCCGCTCGCACCGCTCGTGTTTCCCCATGGATCATTTCGTTGGCCCGCTGCCGTCCACACAGTCGGACGACGGGACTCGGTTCGAGACGTCGTCATATCTTGAGGCGGACGCTCTCTTCCTCCAACTCGCTCGCGAAGATATCAGCGACCCCATCAGCCATCTTCGCCGAATCGCTCAATCGTATCGCTCTGGAACGGTAGCTACCTCAGCCTACCCTCAACTTTGCGTCTACATCATGGACCGTTTGGCGGTGACGCTTCTCTTCATGTTTGAATACAGCTCCACGTCCGATCATTTGATCGAATCTATCGATCTTCATCGTCAGGCTCTAGAGGTTAGGCAGCGTCTTGGGCTGGATCTGTCACCGTCTTTGACGGGGGTCGCGTCCGGTCTGGTGGCTCAATGCTCCGCCAATCTTGGGTCTCCCATTGCCCATGAAGCCTTCGACGAGCCCCTCCGCATACTTCGGGAGGCGGTCTCATCAAGTGGTATCGACGATCGCGGTCTCATCGTTACCTTGACGACGTTGTCTCGGACTCTGGTGAGACGCCTCGACCTATCCCCAACAGAGGATGACCTCGAAGAAGCCGATGCAGCTTCACGGCGAGCAGAAGCCATCCCTACCGTCAACGAATTCTCCGCCGCCATGATCTGCAACGCACGGTCAGCTGTCCTCCACGTTCGTTACCGACAACATGGTGATGTACGGGATCTCGAGCATGCCGTCGCTTGCATACGTGATACGGTCAAATCACTGCCATACTCTCATATTCCCATCCACGCCACTGCCATTCGTCATCTTGCTGGAGGGTTGCGATTTCTGTTCGAGGAACAGGGTAACGTGCAGGACCTGGATGATGCGATCGCGCTTGCTCGCAGACTTGTGGCAGGCACGCCCGCTACCCATGTCAATTACATGCAATCTGTGACGACTCTGGCTGGATGCCTAGGAATCCGATATGACTTCGCCAGTCAAATCGAACACTTGGACGAATGCATTATCATTCTACGCGAAGCTTGCAGCGCAGCTCCTGATCCAAAGAAAGTGTCTTTGAGCATTCTCATGAATCTCGGCATCGCATTGAGGTGTCGCTTCATGCATACTGGCAGGCTGTCGGATCTCGACGATGCACTAGACTTGTATGTCGACAGGTTGAACGTCATGCACAGAGATAGCGCCGGTCGTGCCGAACTTCTTAGGGAACTTGGACTCATCTACGGGATGCGATACGAGGAGACAAAAGACGAGGCAGATTTGGAGAGAGCCATTCGATATAGCAGGGACAGTTACGAATTGCATCCCCCAGGTTCAAGGCATCCCGACCCATCCATGCCGGCCAATGCATTGTCCGGTCTGCTCATCTTCCGATACCGTCTCAAGAAACATATGGAGGATCTTATCGAATCCGTGCACTATGGGACGATATCGCTAGGCCTCCGACCGCGTGGACATCCCTTCAGGGCTGAGGCTGCGGAGACGTTAGTGGAGGCCAAGCGAACTCTCGCGGTCGAGCGAATGGACCCCGCACTACTCTCGGAATCTATATCGCTGCTCGAGGAGACGTTGACCGAATCAGAAAGATCGGATAGTCCCTTCGTGCGCGGTGCATTGATCAGCCAGAAAGCCGGCTGCCTCGCGGCGCGTTTTAAACTGTGTGGATGTAGCGACGATATCGTTGCTTCCAGGGCTCTTTATGAAAAGGCAACCACAGATACACTTGCTCCCCCCGTATATCGCTTCAAGTACAGCAGAGAGTGGATCAGGGCCGCTGCAGATAGCGATGATCACGAAGGCTTGTCGACAGCGCATGAGCGCGGCCTGGATCTTCTATCTCGCATCGCTTACCTCGGACTTGACAACGCATCACGCCTGCGCCTTCTGAGAACCATACCGTTGTTATCTTCCGACGCAGCCACTCACGCCCTCGGACTGGGTGAACCTGAACGAGCCATCGAAATGCTTGAACAAGGTCGATCGATCTTCTGGGGGCAAGCGCTCCATCTTCGAACACCTCTCGCCGGTCTCCCGAATGATATGCTTGAAAAGCTCCACAATCTCTCACAGGCGCTTGAGCAGTCACCTTCGGGGGCAATGGATGATATGGCCATTGCTGAGAGGCGCAGTGTCGCGGACGAGTATGAAGCGCTTGTGGAAAAGGTGCGGTATTTGCCAGGTCAAGAGCGATTCCTCCGCACTCCCCTGTTCTCCGATCTCCGCGAATGCGCAGAAGGTGGAATGGTCGTTGTTCTTGTCGCCAGCAAGGCATCCTGCGAAGTGATTATTATTCGCAACTCCTCCTCCCCAGCCGAGAGGTTGTCCTTACGCTCTCTCACGTATGATCACCTGAAAGAACTGGTTAAGGCTATCGGCGCTTTGACAGGCAATGACTCAACATACGAGGACGATACGACTCGGCTACAGCCGAGCGTAGATCGCCTCAAGATGAAGAAGACGAGGGTATCTAGTGCAAACACTGACGACCTAGCGGCTTTCCTTGCGGAGCTGTGGTCTCATATCGTCCAACCCATCATTGATTATGTCGGTCTTGTTGTACGTGTTTTCTGCTTCTGTAGAGGGTTATGATACTAATACAAGACTACAGAAATGCCAGAGCGATTCGGAGCTTGAAGGCCGTCCACGCGTCTGGTGGTGCCCAACTGGACTGTTTACCTCCCTTCCCTTACATGCCGCAGGCTCCCGAGGCGAATACGCATCAGATTACTTCGTATCATCCTATACCCCCACTTTAGGCACCTTGCTTGCGCTGCGAAAGCAAAAGCCCATCAGCATACCCCGGGACTTTACCGCACTGCTTGTTGCTCAAGCGTCGGCGGCAGACCTCCCGCCATTCACGAGTGTGGATGACGAGATTAATGGAGTAGTCGAGGCTTTGCCGGCCACGACAACTGTCAACGTATTCGGGACGAAGTCGTCGGGGAAATCCTCCGATGTAGAGTCCGTACTGGCGTCATTACCGAAGGTATCCATGATCCATCTAGCTTGCCACGCCCAACAGAATTATCGCAATCCACTCTCCAGTGCCTTCTGCCTGGCGGATGGAAGGCTCAGCGTATCGGATCTCATGAAGGTGAAGATGCGGGACGACACATTTTTCGCTTTCTTGAGTTCCTGCCAATCGGCGGCAGGAGATCCAAAGCTGCCAGACGAGGCTATTCATCTCGCAGGAACCATGCTTTACGTCGGCTTCAAGAGCGTCGTCGCGACCGCATGGTGAGACCAGCCCATGTCGTCCACTATAGGCTATCTCGCTGACTTCAGCTTTAAGGACCATGAACGACGCGGACGGGCCGCGAGTGGCAGCCGATGTTTACCGAACCATGTTCAAGGAAACGGCCGTATCCAATCCCATCGACTGCAGCTCAGTTGCCTTCGGGCTTGACAGTGCTGTTCGGAAAATGCGCGCGCAAGGTCTTCAAGCCCGCCGATGGGCGACGTATGTCCACATCGGGCTTTGAGCCGGTTTTATCCTATGACTTCTCTTGTACAACAGCAGACCATCACCCTTGAATCCGCCCTTTAATAAGACGTACATCGTACAAATATGATTCGAGCACATCACAGCAAACTGTAAATATCCACCCCTGATCCGTCATGACTCATAGAGCGTAAATAAAATCCTCGTTCTGTGTATCGGTCAGATCGTCGAACGCGCGCGCGTTCAACCCGCTCGGTTCTCCACCATCCCGGTTATGCAGCTCCTGTTGTATCTCGTGCGCGCGCACGTCGTCCTCGAGCGAGACGTCGATGACCTTTCCGACCTTGCCGGCGAGCTCCCTCCTCCTGGCGTGTCTTCTATTGAGGAACTCGAGATACGCTGCCGTGATCAGGACCAGGACCGCCAAGGTGACCCAACAAGCCAGGCTGCGTCGAAAGTTTGTCATCAGGCCATACCGTTCTCAAAAGAAACGAAAGACAGAGGGAGGGAAGGGGGGGGCATGACGCACTTTGCGATGAGACCTCTTCGGTAGACGGGCGCGTCTTTAGATTGGTACAGTTGAGGTCCGAGGATGTTGCCGGCGCACTGGGCGACGAAGATCATGCCAGTAGTGCAGAGCTTTTTCGTGTGGCCCGCCGTGTTCTGACTGGACCAGGTGTACAGCATAGGCTGGATCGCCGTGAAGAACGACAGCTTAAGAGCACGTTCTGCTTCAGTGCCTGATCGGTCGCTGCTGTCATGAAGATCGAAGCGTACCACGTAATAGCACCCCAGCAACTTGTTCTTCAGCTCCGTCCCGCGTCCTAGCGCGAGCAACGCGCTCGCGCCCCCGATGGTCGGCAACGTCAGGAAGAAGAGAACGGGCCATTTGAGCTTGATCCGCTGCGAGATGTCGGCGGATAGGAGGGTGAGGACGACCTGCATAGCGGAGAAAGGGATGTTGAATAGCAAGGTATGGAATTGGTTGAAGCCGAATCCCTGAAGAGCGCATGACGGTTAGCGAAAGGATGGGCTAAGAGGCTCAAGGAAGAACGGGGTACCTTGATGATGAGCGGACCGAAGGTACCGATGCCTCCCGAAGGTGCTCTGCAATCGAACATACGGTTAGGGTCCAGATTAGGTATTGAGGTGTTGAAGAGTACTCACGCGCAAAGGAAGAGCATGGAAAACCAGAGGTAGGTCTTCGGGTCGAGCAACAGCTCCCAGACCTGTTCCCATTTCCAGACCTTGGTCTCCACGCCCATGTTGTTGGCGCGCAAACGCTCGATCGCGATGATCTTCTCTTCCTTGTACAAGAAGCGCGCCTTCGTCGGGGCTGGAGGAACGGTCGTCGACCAGCGTGCGCTCGGGATAGCAGCGTCACTCACAATCGGGCAGAACGAACAAAACGATGGGCGAGATGGCGATGGTGAGGAGTCCGATGAACAAGAAAATAACCTGTAGAAGTGATAGCTCGTGAGCTCACGCTCATCGTGTGAGGAGGAGTGAGAAGTCAACGTACCTGATACGGGCGCAAGCTCCCATTGATATGTCCCAGACCCCAGGCAAGCAACGACCCGACCATCCCAGTCCCCCCGTTGGCCGCCATCCATATCGCGAGGCGGAACGTCTGTTCGCGACGACGCCACCACATCTGGGTAATGGTGATAAAGCAAGGCGCTGCAAAAGGTTGAACAAATCGATGAACACATGAACTCGCTGTTCTTAGAGATAACAGACACGCACCGACGGTCGCTTCGAAGATGCCCAAGAAGAAGCGCGCGACGAGCAGGCCTGTGAAGTTCTTCGCCGCGGCGCACGATGCGACGCAGATGCCCCAGAAGACGACGTGGACGAACACTGGGTGTGCTCGCATTTGAAATGGTTCAACGATAGGGGCAATGGAAGGGGCACTCACGGTACTTGGCGACAGGGAGGCGGACGAGCAGATAGGACGAGACGGGCTGCCAGACGAGCTGCGCGACGTAGACAATGCTGCCTAACCAGCTGTACTGTTGCCCATGAAGATCTAAGAATCGTCGAAGTGAGTGAACACGACGACGAGCGGAAACAAGTCATCAAGCTCACGCGCGTCTTCTTGTATGCCAAAGACGGACGTGTACGACAACGACGACCTGACCGATACAGTCCGCGTCAATAGACCATCCCAACACACGGAGAATAAACAACTAACTTGTCGAGCTGCTGCAAGAAGTATATCGTTGCGATGACAGGCATGAGCCACATGTCGATCTTTCTCAGCACGGCCGCGTTCTGCTCGGGCGTGACCAAAACCGGCGCCGCCTCCTCGCCGATCACCTCGAGCGCGGCGTCCTTGCCCTTTGCCGCGAGCTGGCGCCGTCCCCCAGGAGCGAGACCGGTGTGGCTCGCGTGCTCGTCATGGCTAAAGCTCGCCTTGTCGTCAACCTCGCTGGCAGGCGTTCGAGGGATAGTCGACTCGGAGTCGGCCATAGTTTCGCGATTGCGGGGAGTCTCGAAGACGAAGATAGAGACGGAGGCGAGGCGGAAGACCGAGAACCGGGCAGGCCATTTTCCTTGCGAGTATTTATGCGCTTTCCCCAGAAACGCGTCTGCAGACCCCGCATTCCACCCCGCATCTCCAGACTCAGGAACAGCACCGAAGTCGAAATTAGGGTTTGGTCGAGACACAGCCACCAATTTGAGCTAGCCGGCTTCGACGTTCCGGCGGGTCGAGATATAGCGTAGCGGTGTCACCAGCTGACCACGGTTATCACTGGTCTCGGTTATGTTTGCAGCGAAACCGCGATAAGATCCTGCATTTTTGCTCTGCGCGGTTCGACGACGAGGGCTGCGCACGACAAATCATCTCGCGGTCCGAACGACGGGTCACCTGAAGGGATCGTTAGATTCGTTACAGTCGTGGAAAACCGTCGCGATGTGGCGCAAACATACCCGGTCTGTACTCGTGAGCGTGGTCATGACCGGCGTGTTGACAGCATCGGCCCGTAGATCGCGCTCCTAGTCGCGACATTGCCAAGAGAGACTCGTTGTGCGCACCCCTATCCGCGATGTCGCAGGAGGCCGTCGTAGCTCGAACATGGTCCACCAGGGGTGATCAAGACTTGGCATTCGTCTTGCCGGGAAAGCGGCCCGCTTCACCCGAGAAGTTTCAGCAGCAGAAGTCATGTCCCAATCCTCGAGGGGATTCGGGGAATTGGCCCGGCGCTATGCTTGTCCACTATCGGTGTCCCGCTATCCCTTCATCTATATGAGGGCATATGAGGGCTGCGCCCATCGACCAACTCCCATCCTCCCTGCAACCTCAGCATGTCCTCGTCACCCCAGAAACCATTTGGCGGGCGCGTCGCAATCGTCGGCACCGGCTCGCGCGCGTCCATGTTCGTCCGCGGCATCGTCGCCCGGCCCTCCACCTCCTCCGTCGTCGCGATCTGCGAACCCAACCCGGTCCGCGCGGCGTACTACAACGAGCTACTCGCGTCGCTCGGCGCCCCGTCGGTGCCGATATACAAGCCAGAGAGCTACGTCGAGATGTTGGAGAAGGAGGCGGTGGAGGCGGTGGTCGTGACGTGCGTTGACGCGCTGCACGACGCGTACATCGTGCCGGCGTTACAGAAAGGCCGTGCGTATCCGGTATATCCTCGATAGAGGCAAAGGATAAGGAGGGGGCTGACGATAAGGATGTGCCTAGTGCGGGTGTTGACCGAGAAGCCGATGACGACGGATGTCGACAAGTGCCGGCGGATCTTGCAGACGGTGAACGAGACCGGGAACCACCTGACGGTGACCTTCAACTACCGGTCAGCAGCACACCCATTTCTCGGTCCATCGCGCACTCACCAACCCCCCGTGGTCAGATATAACCCCGTGCACGAGCTCGTCAAGCGCACCCTCGCATCCGGCAAGATCGGCGAAGGTGAAACCTCCCTCTTCCCCTCCCTCTCGCCCCCCACTCACCCTCGCAATCCTAACCTAAAACCCTGACCGAACATCACCCAACAGTCCTCTCCGTCCACTTCGAGTGGCTGCTCGACACCGTGCACGGTGCAGACTACTTCCGGCGCTGGCACCGGCAAAAGTCCAACTCGGGCGGGCTCATGGTCCACAAATCCGGGCACCACTTCGACCTCGTCAACTGGTGGCTCGGCGCCTCCCCCGTGCGCGTCGCCGGCATGGGCCGGCTCGCGTTCTACGGGTCCGGGAACGCCGGGCAGCGCGCCGGGTGGGCGAAGGACTACGTGCGCGCGCGGGGGGCGGACGAAGCCAGGGGAGACCCGTTCGCGATCGATCTGGAGGGCGACGAGACGTTGCGCAGGATATACGCCGACGCGGAGGGCGAGGACGGGTATCACCGCGACCAGAACGTTCGTCCTCCGTCCCTTGCGTTTTTCACCTTTCGTTCGGGCTGACTGATCGGACCGTATACTGCCGACACCAGGTGTTCGCGCCTGGGATCGGGATCGAGGACGACATGAGCCTGCTGGTGCGGTACGATACCGGCGCGACGATGACGTACCATCTCACCGCCTACTCGCCCTGGGAGGTAAACAACTTGCATCCCCACCCTCCCTCTCACTCACTCACTTTCTCTCTCTCTAACAACATCCCCCTCTCCGCAGGGCTACCGCGTGATGTTCAACGGCTCGCTCGGCCGGCTCGAGCTCGAAGTCGTCGAGTCCCAGTTCCGCCTCCCCGCCGACCCCCAGATCGCGGGCGGGCAGATCCACGGCACCGCCTCGCTGCCCAACCCGGGGCCCGCCACGGTGCGCCTGCACCCCCTGTGGCGCGCGCCCGAAGTTCTCCCCGTGGAGTACGAGCACGGCGAGCACGGCGGCGGCGACCGGCGGATGCTGAGCGTGCTGTTCGGCGCTCTGCCGGGGGAGGAGGTCGACCAGGGCGACGCGGCGAAGCAGGGGGCCAACGAGAGGGACGGGGCGATGGCGCTCGCCGTCGGGTTGATGGCGAACGAGAGCTTTAGGACGGGCCAGTTCGTCGATATCGAGAGTTTGCGGTTGCCGTTGTAAGGCGTATGTTTGCCGAAGACAACGCCCCCAACCCGATCGATTTTTTTTTCTAATTCCTGTGCGAGAGGCATCGAAATTCTCGTTCGATTGACACGACGGGAAAGGAAGCTGGAGATAATGGGAAAGGGGGACGCGGTAACGCGGCGTCCGGCAGTGGCGACGCCATGGCTACAAATGTGAGAAACCGGCGCGCACAAGTTAGCCAGGGACAGAGGCGCGGAAAACGTTCACGGAAAAGTTCGAAACGGACCGTCGCCGTCACGTCGCCGTCCTGGCATATCCTGCACACGTCGACGTCAATCAGAACGGGCACGAAGCGATCGAGATACGGAATCAAACCCTCCCTTCTACCGTTCGACGCGCGCCTTGATCGAGAACGCGACTTGGGTTTTCTTAGCCTCGCCTTTCGCTCGCAGAGCAGGCGCCCATGTCCGACAGAGCTGCAGAAAAACCAGGGCCGTTACGCACAGGATAGACACGTAAAAAAAACGCACCTCGAAGGGGTGGGTCCAACACGAAGATATTTTCTTTTTCTCGTCGATCTAGAACCCCCCCTGGCGGAGTCAAAACCGTGGCAGCCCTGGATACGAACCAACAAGAACCGAAACGTCGCCCACAGACCGATCGAAACCCCCCCCCCCCGCCCGGCCCGCTCTACCCCGCGATATCTATCCCGCACGACAAAAAAAAACCGAACACGTCCCCCCTCGTTTCTTCACTGCAAAGACACCCTCCCCAGGGGAAAAAATGAAATTAGTCATTGCTACATGTTACGGTAAAAGTAAGAGGAGCCGATGCAGATGCGGGAGTAAAGAGGAGGAGAGAGAGAGAGACCAATGAGACTGGTGAACACAGCCCAAATGCGATTTTTGTTTTTGTTTAACACACATGCGGAACGGCAAGGCAAGCCGGGGGGGTCAAGTCCGATCGTGACGCGTATCGCCCATCTCGATGTCCGCGCTCACGTCCGGATACTTCTGGTAATTCGACGACGACGACGACGACGGCTCCGGCCCCGGCGAACGCGAGTGCGAGCGCGAGCGGTCGTCCAAGGGGTCGCTGAACTCGATCGAGTGGAACGGAACCTCGAGCTTGTGGCTCTGGCGGTGGGGGTGGGGGTGGTCCCGTAGTTGCGGCCCGCCTCGGCTGTACCGGTGATACGGCAGCGGCAGCGAGCGCGTGGACGGTCGTATCGTGCTATTTTTTTAAAAATTTTTTTCAAGAAAAAAAAAGAGGGCGTCAGTACAGAAAACGAAGAACGAAGAACACGAAGGGTGCAGGATCGTCGGCGATGATACGTACGAGAGATCCATGAGCGGCGTTTGATACCGGTGCAACCGACGGACGACGCGCGAGGCCGCGATCTGTGGTTTTCAAGATCAACACGCGGGTGGAAAATTAAAAATAAAAAAAAACGGAGCGCGTCAGCGATTCCGGTTTTCATTCCTCCCGACGAGAGAGAGGGAAAAAACGGAAGGGGTTTTACGGACGGTGCTGAACACTAACGCCGGGGTTTCGAATATCTGGCGGGGCAGGCATGGTGTGACGGTTAAGACGCGACGCGACGAGGAGGGGGTGGGGGGGAACGACTCAACGGTGCTCATGACGCCGTTCAGGTTGAGGATCATGAATACGCCGGCGAGGAGGTTGACGACGATGCTGCCGCGCGCCCGACCGAAACCAAAACCCGCACGAGATGAGTCTCCCCGAGGGCAACAAAAATGGGCGCGGCGAAAGGGGCAAACGTACGCGACGAGGAAATAGATCAGGCCGTCTTTGAACAGCAGCGTGACGATCGGCGCGTTGCGCTTGCCGCTCCCGCCGCCGAACGAGTACCGCAGCTTCCACGCGCTGTCAATAGAGAAACGCATGAGACACGCGTGACGCGAGGTCCAGATGGCACGACCGGCGGTTAACCTGAGGAGCAGCACGACGAGGTCGAAGAAGATGGAGTAGAAGAAGGTGGCGACGAGGAGGCGGAGGTTGAGCGTGGCCACGACGCAGCCGAATTCGGGGATGACCGTCGTCGTCAGTATCGCCGCTGAAAAAAAAAGAGAGAAAAAAAAACCCCCCGGTGGAAGTCCCGTTTCGCCGTAAGCCGGAAAGGAAAGGAAGCGAGTAGAGGGAGGGGAAAAGACGCACTCTGCGCGATGAGAGCCCAGTGGCCGAGGATGATGAGCACGATGAGCGAGACGACGTAGCGGTTCTGGTCCCAGATCGCGATCCTGTCCGAGACGACGACGAACGTCAGTATCCCCCTTTTTTTGGGAGAGGAGAGGAGGGAAAGTTCGAGATCAGATGAGATGAGAGGGAGAGAGAGAAGTTGGGAAGGGAGAGAGTGGGGAGAGATGGGGGGGGGAGACCGGGACGTACGTGCGCAGGGAGAGGTTGATGCTCGAGAACCCAGAGGCGGCCGCGCCGAGGAACTGCACGCATATCCAGACCGCCTCGCAGTTCAACGCGCCGCTCTCGACGTTGAGAGAGACGATGCTGGAGGATAACGGAAACGCGCCGGGTCAGCTATCGGCGGACGAGAAGACATGGGAGGATGGCGGGAGGGAGAGCACACCACGCACTAGGCGATGAGGGAGCCGAGGAGGCAGTATCGGCCGGCAAAGTAGAAGATCTGCCCGTCAAGGTAGTATCAGCGAAAGGGACGGCGCCAAAGTTAGGAAAGAAGAGGCGCACCATCCACCACCGGAACCGCCGCCGCCGCGTGAGCACCTCCCACTCGAACCCCAGCGAGGTCGCAAACTCCCAGAGGTACAGCCCGAACAGCGCGTGCGCGAGGTAGGCGCTGATCGCTGCGGGGGCGAACGGGAACGACGGGCGCGGCGTCAATCGGGGCCGCGACCCAGCAAAAGCGAGTTTGGGTCCTCACATGCGTCCTTGACCTGCTCGTCCACGGAGTGCCAATCCACCATCGTCCGAAAGCCCCAAACGAGGCGAAAGGGGGAGAGAGGGGAGGGCGTGCAGGTCGTCCAAGTTGCAAGCGAGAGAGAAGGGGGAAAAAACCCCTGTCGACATAGGGAGGTAATTGGCCGTGCAAGCTCGAGATGGCTGCCCACGGAGAACCACCATCGCGCCTCCCCCCGTAATTCCTCCGAAGGAGCGTGAAAGCGGAGAATAACGTACGCACCGCAAAACGACTTGCCAAATCGGGACATCCCGGTCCCGCCAAGCCCGGGCGCCGTGCGAGGAAAGCCGAGGAGGGCTCAAATTCGCTTCAGATCTATAAAATCGTTCGTCTGGTTGAATACGACGCTATCTGACTTGTCTCAAGCTGCTAGACGTCTACAAGAGGCGCTACTGAGCGACTCGAGAGATAGAAATACTGCTCGAGCTGCGCGGAAACTTCAAGAAGGTGGCGGCGATTTAGGGTTTAATAACACGCCGCCTGCGCGTTCATTTTGAAAACCTGCATCAACTCGCAGCACGATACGTGGACACTGATACGTCTCAAGTTGCTTATGTACAGAAGAGACCAAGGGAGTATATATGCTCGATCGTATTTACGCGTTCTGTTCGGATGATGGAGGTGGCCGAAGTGGCGATGCCTAAAGCGGCCTCCGATAGGCTGACCCAACCTTATATGTACTCGATACGATGCCTGCTTTGACTTGCGCGCTGTCAAATCCGTCTGAAAGTATCGCCTTGTTCTTTTTTTCCCCCTTCCCCCATCCGAGATATCAGTTACTCATCATTCATACCAAATTCATACGCGAAAGAAGTCCGCGACGACAGCATCTGTCTTGGAGCGAAGTTTCTTCCAGCAAAGGCAATCGCTTGTGACCGCCCGCCGCAGTCAAGATCGCATCGGGGGAAGGGGGGGGGGGCGCCTCTAGATATGTATACATACCCGTCCCGTGTTATCGTATTCTACAACGATGATGCGTTCGACATACTCTACAAGCATGCAAGTGTTTCACCATCGCGCGCACGGAATGAGCGCCGCGTAGCCAGCGGGACAGCCCTCTCGCCTTAAACTTTCGCGGACCGGAGCGCTTACGACGCCCGCACTAACTACACCGAAGGATCGTGCCCCTATCTCCCCCGCCCTCCGCCCTCGCGACCGGTCACCGCAACTCTGACCTCAGCCGCCGGGGTCGGAATTTCTCCGCGGGCCCAGGGTACGCCCAAGTTCTTGGCCAGCCTCGCTCGGTCAGGATATATCGTTCATCGACATATTCCACTTTGCCGATCGCGTGTTCCCCCCCTATACAGCAGCGGCGGCGGCCCTCCCAAGCCTCCCCATCTCCAACCCACCGGCGTCCGCAAATCCCAACGAGGCCGCCGCATACACCACCCCCTCGTCCTCCTTCGCTTCCCCGTGGTCATCCTCCGTCGTCGACGGCGTCCGGTGCTAAAGAAATAACCAAAACAGACGAAAACACGCCATTCCCCTTTCGAATCAGCCTTTCCACACACACACCCTCACGGGCAAAACAAAAGAAGGGGGGGGGGACGACGCTTCACGCACCGCGTCGCTGCCGAACCGGATCCGGTGGTCCGTCGTCGTCGTCGCCGCGCCCGGCTCGGTGACGATGCGCGGGAGCGCGCGGCACCAGCGCGCGCCGGGCACGTACGGGTTCGACGTGCGGAACGAGTCCCTGCCAAAAACCCCAACAACGTGAGCGTCGGAAGTATCTTTTTCTGTTGCAGTTGTAACAGCAAAGAGTGAGAGGGAGAGGAGGGGGGGGGGCAGAGAGGGGCGTGGACGCACGTGCTGTCGAGGGGCGGGGAGAGGTAGTAGTGCAGCCTTCGCACCGAGCGGCACGAGGCGATCTAAGGGCGAGGAGGGAGAAAAGAAAATCAGAGGTGGGAGACTCGACTCGGAAGGCGACGCCGATTAGGGGGGGGGGGTAAGGGCACGCACCACGCTCACGACGCCCGCGGGCAGTCCGAACATCTAGGTCGCCCCAAGGTCAGCAGCCCATGGTTATCCCACGTGAAGAGCGGGGGAGCGGAACGAGGGCACGCACGGATCGCAGCACGGGGTTCAGGTCTAGTAGAATGAACGTCACGGACACGACGTTGAACACGACTCTATCGGGAAGCAAGTTCAAGGGGCGGTATCAGGCGCTCGTTCGACGTAGGAGAAGGGGGATGAGGAGGAAGATGAGGAGAGAAAACGTACACGATCAGGAAGTAGACGACACCGTCTCTGACGAGCAGCTTCACGAGCGGCGGGTTACGCTCGCGGAGCGAGACGCCGAGCTTGTACACGCTACAACACCGACGTTTCGTCAACACACATTGCACAGAGAGGAAGAGAGGGGCGAGAGTGCGAGAACCTGAGAACGAGGATGGTGGTATCGACGACCATCGTGTACACGTAGCTCGCCGCAATAAACGTCTTGCTCACCGACGTCGCCGCGCAGCCAAAGTCGGGGACGTACACCGCGGTCAACGGTAAACCTGCGCACGCGAGGGTAATAGTTATGCATGAGCCGTCGCCATTGCGTAACACCCAAACGAGGGGCTGGAGTGGAATGGGACATTACTTCGGAAGATGAGGAACCACTGGCCGAGGATGAGCACGCCGAAGAGACCGGCGATGTATCGGGTCTGGTTCCATATCGCGATACTGGATAGGCCGACCGAAAGTTTTTCTTTTGGTCAGGAGAGGAGAGAGTCGGGGAAGACGCACACTCGCAAGGCGAGGTTGATGGACGAGAAGCCGACGGAGGCCTGGCTGAAAGCATCCGTAGCCTCCCATAACGCTTTGCAGTTTAGCTTTCGGCTGTTCACGTCCAGCCCGATAAGACTGGCGAGGGGAAGTCGCGTTGAGTGAATCTCCGTGCTCGCGTAGCGGTAAGGCCGGGGCGCTCACAGTCCGATCATCGCCGCCACCATGGAGTACCGCGCCGCAAAGTAGAAGATCTGGTGTCCAGAACAGAGTCAGCTCGGGATGAACGAACCGGTCTGCGCTGAGCGGGTTGGGGCGACGCGCACCATGGGCCACCGGAACTTTGTTCTGCGCGACAGCAGCTCCCATTCGAACCCCATCGTGTTGACGACCTCCCAGAAGTAGAGCCCGATGAGCGCGTGCGACAGGTAGAGGGAGATGACTGCGGGGTCGTCAGTGCATGCAGATATTGCGATTGGTACAGGATACGGTGGTGGTGGTACTCACATCCGTCATGGATCAGCTCTGCTTCCGAGTGCCAGTCGACCATAGTGCTCCTGAGCGACAGCGAGTAGACGGGTTTTTGTGGGGAGGGAAGAAGAAGTGAGAGTAGCTACGGCGCATGCAGGATATGACCGGGGGATTTGCGGCTTGATATTGTCCGGCCATGCGAGCGCGATGACCAGATGCGTCCGGAAACGAGGCTCACTCGACCTTCGGCGTCTTTCCTGCTGGGCTCGGTGCCGAATCTAGCTTCCATCCGTGGGAATAATGTCGGAATACTCTGCTTTGCTCCCGACGTTGTCCCGCTCCGGACGAGCGCGCTTCGGATTCGTCAGGCAATATCTACTCCACCCTCCCCCCTTCTTCAATACGCTCCGATACGACTTCTACCAGAAAGCGCCGCTCACCTCGCCGTCCGACTTGGACCGAGGGCGACCCACTACAACAACAATCGTCTTCACACGACAAAGGTTAAATTTCCCCGCAGCGTCTCGGAGACGCCTGATGAGAACGACGTTCGCGCTTCTCGGGCATATATGGCTACGGACATCTCAGCATCGGGGCCCGGTGCTCGGTGACGCTCTCGCCGACATGAGAGGACGCCGACGGATCGCGCTACGTTAAGAACGTTGCAGCCAATGAGTGAAATACCTCCGAGTTGCATATGTCACATGACGGAAGGGGTTCCCGGGTCGATCACTCGCGTGCCGTTTACACCCACGGGTCAGCGACGCAGACCGCGAAACGGGCGAAATCATCTACGCATTAGCTTCGGTTCCCCTTTGGCTCTGGCCCACCGCTGGGGTGAGAATCGTTCATGTGGCGTGAGTCTGCACACAACGCCTAGTCGGTGTATCTGTCGTAAGATCACAGGTATAGACGGTCGTCTCCGTGTGAGAGAAGATGAACGGAAGGCACACATGAGTATATGCGAATGGCGATGGAGGGGATGTTATAAATTGTGTACGATACATTGAGTTGGGTATGGCGGTGCTGGGTCGTCCGTTGTAGCTCTAAGATGTGTGAGACAGGCTGATACCCCGGCCATGGAGCTTATTCACAGATGTTCAGTACGCCACTTCCTTGGTGCACCATGAACCGTGACGAAGGTACCCGACTCGCCCGCATGTCTCGATAACATAAAGGAAATGTATCGTCGAGCACCAGGCACGCACGTCGCGCATAGAATGTCGTCAACAACAGCTTCAGGCTTGCGTCGTCGATCCGGCAGTAGGCTTGACCGCTTTCCCGTTCTTCGTCCACTTGAGCACCGTGCCGTGCCGCAGCTGTCCCTTGATATTGGCGGGGAAGTCGCGCTTGGTATAAACCTTGAGGCCGAGGACGATCTTGTCGTTGGGATCGATCTGATCGTCGTACGTCAGGGCCGCTTTTTGGGCGTCTTCGGACGTGTCTAGTCGGAGGACGCGGTGCGATGGGTCGTGCTTGCCCGAGCCGTAGCACTGCTGGCACATATCGAAGTTGGTGCATTCGGCACTTTTAGAGGTTAGAGGAAGGGGTGAGTGATACTTCGCTCTTGGGTTGTAGCAAGCAGTTGGAACGTACTCGAGGCACTTGTATAAGGGCCCAACGATGGGCGACATCTGAGGAGATCTCCGTGGATTAGCGAAATACCAACAGACGGTCGTCAAGGAGGAAACGCACCTTGCATATGTCGCAAATCGCGCCAGGGTCGACTATGAGGGGTGGGGGCTGTGTGAGGACATCGCTGATACCGTCAACGATTAAGGTCTCGGTCTTCCTATCTTCCTTCGCTTCCGTCTTTGCCTCCTTCTTGTCGTCCATCGTGTCCGGCTTCCTTTCCTCGTCGCTCCCGTCATTCGATTCGGTCGAGTCCGTGTCGCTCGAGTCGGCGTTGTCCGCCTTCTTCGACGAAGCATGCTCCTCGCTCTCAGGCTGGGACGTGGCGGCCTTAATTTCCGCATGTAGGACCTGATCTACGAGACTACTTCGCTCGATGACGCTCGTCGAGACAGCCTTTGTGAGCTGACGGCCCTGTACGGCGGCGGCGAATGCATTCATCTCGAGCTCGGTCAGGTCCTCTCCCCCGAACGACTCGTTGGGAGGAGGGAGGTAGTCCGTCCACGGCCTGCATGCAGGTGAATATGAGTAAGCCTCTCGTGTCGACGTAACGCTCTGAGTCTTACGAAGGATCGAAATCTATCGGATGAAGGGTTCAGTGGGAGATGGGATACGTAAGCCGTGCTGACTCACTGGACGCGATGCTTTGGCTGATGGCCTGCTGTGTGAGCTTTCTGACCCGCTTGCGCTCATCCCATTTCGATATGTTCTCGAAGAACCAGTTGTCGGCCCTGAGACGTGAGCGGTCCAACCGAACCTGGAGGAACAGGCATGAGTAGACTACGAGCACTCGCTGATGGCGCGCGTACGTGTACAACGTAATCCCCGGCTTCCAGATCGATTTCTGCAACGACGCTGCGATCCCAGAGCATGTTGTGACGAGATCGAGCGATAGGTTTCATGGCGGATTTGGGATAAACGACAAAGTCGAAAGTCCAACCATAAGGACCCTCGAGACCTTGATAATACCTCGTCTCCAGTTGCGAGAGAACAAAAATCGAAGGGGTTTTGCCATCGACCTTCACAGTGACTGTCTACAGATTAGCCAAAAACAATGATAGCGAGCGGAGTAAGGCCGTACATGATACATCGCCGAACTTCCATGCCGCTAGTGCGAGCTGTGAGATCAAGTCGGCGCAAAGCGAGCACGGAAAGGATGCCTGCCTGGGAACGGACGTGCGTAGACTTCGAGCCATTGCGAGCTCAAGACCCACGAGGAATCAAAGAGCCTCGTCTTGTCGAGCCTCGTGAAGGTGGTCAGGAACTCGGGGTCTACGATAGAGCAAGGGTATCAGCTACATGGTGCAAGTGGCCAGCAGCTAGTCACGTACATTCCATTAGGAATTCTCCGTCATCGCCAAACTTGTGGTTCAGATCATCTAGCGCCATCAACCACTCTTTGGTCCATTCCTTCGATCCGTCACTCCACTTGCCGGACCACTCGCGCTCGCCCCAGGGATTCCGGACTTTAACGAATCGTTTACCTGAGCGATGGCGGCTGGCGTCAGCATCCCTTCAGCCCCAAGCGAACTTGTTTCAGTCACCGTTATGTTCAACTACAGATAGAACAGAGTACGCATGATCTGAACAAGAAGGCGGCAAGCTCGTCACAGAGAACGCGGGATGATTACTTCTGAGCAACTCACTCGTTCGAATGCCTGGATAAATCGGTAAAACGGTGCTCAGTCAGAAATAATCTTCAATTGACACTTGCTGCCTACCTTTCACGAAGTCACGCGAACCTGCTTTGTTTTGCATTATGTAGCACGAGAACAACATATCGCGGTTAGCTCGCGTCAGCTGGTCGTTCCACAGCCTGTCCGGATCGAGGATATCCGCCATTTGCATCGTTGTGGAAACACCCCTGGGAATCGTTGCGTCAATCACAACGTGGAGAGCTCACCCCAATGCAAACCCACCCCGTCATGTCCTCGATAGCACAAGAGCAGTATCCGCCTGCAAGTGCTTTGTAATCTCCGAACAGCTTGGCGTATGCCTTTTCGAAGAGGGGGCTATGGAGATCTCTTCAGATGCAGTTCCAATGAGCACTGACCAGCTTACACCCATGTCTCGTTTTCCGTAAGAGAAGAGGCAAAGTACAGAGCTCTACGCCCACGCTTGTCCGGCCGCTTATCCAGTTCCTGGGCGAGAAGAACGGTTCAATGTTGCCCATCGACATAGCGAAAGATCAGCTGGTGTACTCACAGCCGTCTCCAGATCTTCCAGTCTCGTGTAGTTCGTGAAGAGAAGACTGAGAATCGGCGATCAGATGGAGGAAAGCCAGTTCACGATGACCTTTGCGCGCACTCGTCGATGATCACATCTGTCCAGCCCGATTCGTTGTGGAAGACAAAACCGTAGACGCCGACCTGTTCATCGCGCTGAGCATGCGTCAGATCGTCGTTCAAACGTAGCAACGCAGAACGCAACCATACTGCGACGCATATTCTGTCGATCAATTTCGGAACCGTCGCGACCGTGGCGACGGCCGACAGGAACCAGCAGTCTCCTAGCGCGCCTTGGCTTATATCTCCCGAAGAGGCGCCATCGATGAAGAACTCGGGTTTGTCGAATATCTGGTAGAGGCGCATCACGTCTCCGGGCGAAAGATCGTCGCCATCGGAAGGCGCTAAACCGTTGAGACATCTGTCTCGATCTTCTTCGAGGTCAAATTCGATGTCCCTGGTACGCCGTTAGCGACGTATATTGGAGCATGGACCCCATCGTGCTCACCTGAACCTCTGATTTTGCGACCTGAGATGAACGAGGGTCGTGAGACGAAGAACAGGAGGTCACGCCGTTTCACTTACCGACATTCTTCCGCTATATTCTGTACCTTCTCCTTGCATCTTTCGATCGCTTTGTCGAGTTCCTCTTTCACAAAAAGACCCTACGATAATTCGGTATGAGGTTCTCATACCTTCACATCATGAACGTCATTCTCACCGCCTTATCGGCCTTCTGTTCATACTCTCGAGACCATCTTCCTTGAAAGAGGCGCAACATGATGATAGCTAGTTACAGCAGCTTTTGGGGGGAGAACGAGTTCAGTATATGTCGTTTCATAGGTCCAACGGAATCCTCACTTTAAGCAACTTGACCTCCGATCCCTGCGGAAGGTATGTCAATTGTGCGGCGCTGGCGACAACGTGGATCAGCGTTGCCGTGCAGTAGGCGCCCGTAAGGGCTTGAACGAGGAGACTCGACGGATGTCCACTAAACCCGTCGATAAAAACAGCATTCTATTCGCATGTACCGGCACTAGGGCACGCCGAGGATGAGCGCGAGTTTCCAGTAAAGGAATCATGCAATCTCCAATGCTGTGTTGCACGATGCACACCTCCTTGTGGAAGAACCGATTATCCTCGATAGTTTGACGCCTGAATACTGATTGAGCCTGGGCCTATGCGATATGTAGAAAGAAGGCATTTTCAGAATACCGTGAGCCGTACATCTTCATAATCTGATGGTGTGGTTCACGCCGTGTGTCATGAAGGTCACATCTCCATCGAAGTCGCGAACATGACCATCGATCTCCCATCCGTCTAGTGAGAGGTGACTCGAGAGTGCTTGAGTTCGCCGGTAGTCTGAAAAGATGGATGAGCCGAGCGTCCCACCCCCGAGGTGACAAGTTCAGTTGGGAGGGAACGTTAACAAGAGCCGTCAGTGTCGCAGGCGTGACGCAATGTTCACACGGTCAAATTGCCATCCGAGCTCGTCTCGTGTGCGAGCAAACTCCTCGAAGGCCGTTGTTTGAGTGGATCGTAGTTGGAGCGACTTGGGTAGGAACAATTTCGTGGAATCCGGCATGTCGTAGCCTCGAAGGTTCGGCCAGATGAGCGGTTGGTGTCGAGGAAGGCAAAACCGGGTATTCCTCCTGTCTGCTCGCCGCTCGCCTACCCCACAGTGCATAGAACAATGGATGGACGATGAATCGCAGGGTATACGTTGCACATATGATACAAGGACATAGCACGACCATCGCGCTTACAAACGTCCATGGTTCATTGAACAACACCACGCGCTTGAACGATTAGGGCATTGCATGCCTTCAGTCCATCCTCCAAGCGATGTCGACGAACGCCCGCAAGTCCGCATTTCGCGGGCATACGTCATGCAAACATGGTCAAGTACCATTTAGGATCTTCCTTGAGACCGAACTCCGCTCGTATTTCCGCTATTGTCTCCGCACTCGGTCGCTTGTCGAGTGGATCCCGGTTGGAGCAAAGGGAAAAGATGGGAACAAATGGCGTCTCGGGATCGGGATTTCCATACCCCGTCTTGAAGGAAACGTGCGGCCACAGGTATTCCTGGATGTCGTCGTACACCTGGTACGTCGTAGAGTCGACGTTGATGACTGTGTTCTCCGTGACTTCTTCCGGTGGAACCCACCCCAGCGGACCCATCGTCCTCTTGTCTACGTAGGCATAAAGCTCGTATTTGTACGCGTAGTCAAAAATCATGTCGGTGTCGAGAGGTATGCCAAGGAATAGCTCCGGCGGCGGCGTTTCGGTGCCGGTGCTCCCGTCGAGCTCCTGTGGTAGATGGTCGAGGGGCTCGAATGTTGAAAGAATTGCCATTGCATCCTGGACATCAAGAACACTTGGTAGAAGAGTCCATAATATAAGCACGGGGCCACGTACCAGGTCCTTTTGCTCAGATTCCGGAAGCATAAGAAACCGATACCAGGATAGATTGATAATTGGAGACTGGCTGTCGGTAGCAGGAGCAGCTTTGGTGTGAGTTGTGGGGGAGAGTTCCGTCGCGCAGTCTTGAGAAGTCATGTTAGCGGTCCGGTGTATAGGGCCAGGACGCGGTAGAAGGATCTCGGGATAGCTACGTGGTGGAGAACGGTAGGTATAAGTACGTCCCAGTTCCGCGTGACGTTGGTTGGAGAGAAGCCGATTACGCGGCCAACTCCGGGATTGTGCTCACGGTCCTCCTCACTCGTCAGAGCCTATCATGGTCGGGAGCTTGATTTCCGCCAGAAAACCTTGGGCTTGTTCCGGATGCGGAAGAACATGAACACGAATATAACTACCCATTTGAGATCAGAACAGGATTTTATATTCCACGGGCGCTGTCATCCACTGTCCGAAGTCGAAAGTATCAGCCGCCACGCAACCCATGTCGATTCGCCTGGGACGACAGGTCTTTCTCGGAACAATGATGAACTCTTATCTCCTTCTATCAGTATTACTAGAAGCCTTGGAGTCTCTCACTCGGATGATTGCGAGATGCGGTAGGGACGCCACATACTGTGAGGGTGTGAGCAGTGCCATGATTCCTGAAACCATTGTCTAACAACGATCATTCCAGAACGGTCACAAACAAGTGTCCAATATTGTAGATTGACTGGTCATAGAAGAAAATAATCGTTTCTTGCACCGAATTAGTGCAGCTCTCGATCGCTGGCAAGGACAATGGGAATCCCGTATGCGAACCCAACGACGCGGGACACACTCGTAGGCCGCGTACTTGATGTTGATAATCGGGCCAGACCATTCGCTGTTAGGCGGTGATGCTTAATCTGTTTATAGATTGCAGCACGATCTCCGTATAAAATACGACTTTCGCCTCGCTCGAACCCTCGTGCATCTCCAACTCGCATTTTCAGCTCTCGTCCTAGCCGTTCATCACAGTATGCCGCCGTACACCATTGTCGTGCAAATCCTTGACAGTGATGTGGTGAGCGTTCAGTTCGTTATCAACAGTTCCGTTGCTCATGCACAGCAGGAGATATCCAAGTCGGTGAAGACAATTGCGGACGACGCCACCGCTGGCATTCAGGTGGTCATCAATACCAGCTCAGCAACAAGGAAGACTTATTCCGTCGAGCGATGGACAGTTAAGGTTCATTAGCCCTTTTCCGACGTTCGCGACGAGTGTCAGGCTGACTCAGCACCATAATAGGAGAATACACTCGTTGGGCGTACTTAGCGCAAATTTTATCACCGTCAACAAGGACCGATATTTTTCCAGTCTCGGTTCTGCTCTGATGCACGCCAGAGGTCATCGCCTCGAAAATCCTTGGTATGAGCTTTGGGTTCACACACTCAACGGCCTCGCTCTATGCCTGAACACGTACGACGTAATGGTATGTCCCCAAAGGGTCATCGAGATCCTCAAAGGCACGGTCGACTCGGAGAGCTATCATCTGCAGAGTCGTCGTCGAATTCCGGACTTCGGAGTAGAAATCCGGCGACGTGCTTCCGATGGAAGAGTCGACACCGAGGCCTTGCTACTACTCGAGCTCAAACGCGCCAGTTTCTCGAGAACAGACTCGGTGACTCACAAGCAAGCCGCAGCTCGTCAAACCGTGAAGGACATGTGGGATCAGGTGAAAGATCAGGCGCCCGTCGCATTCGCTTACTACCCCGAGGTCCAAGATCTACACTTCTTTTGCTGTGTTGGCTCCAGTTTCTCCCTACAGCACTTCAACAGGAATCACATGTCGCCTGGAGCTAAGGAGAAGCCGGCCACTCGCTCGAACAAGGCTACGCAGCGGAGTCCACGAAAGAAGCCGAAGGAAACCCAGACAACCGCTTCAGGCATACACGATCTCTTCGCCTTTAGCAATCACGACGAGTTTTCCGTAGAGTTCAAGCAGATTATACAGTACATCATTCAGCACCGAGTCAAGTCGTTGACGCTACAGGGCGACTGGTTTACGCCTGAACCGGCTGCGCCAGAAATCTGGCAGCAATGGCGGTACCGGTGATGGGGGCTCGCCGAGGACGAAAGTAATCTTACTTGGATCTGAACAGTATAGGTGGATGGAACAATATGTTACTGCGCTTTGTATGATTACAACTGTCGTACATTTCCATTAAACAGGTTTCTGTGACCGTATCAGGTGTCATCGAACTATCTGTCTGCCTGTCTCGAAAGAAAGCCACATAAGTAATTTCGTCCAGCCCAAGCTCCTCTCATGTTTCAGCGAGCTGCTCCGATGACGGGCGCATGTCAAGCAAGTCGAAGTTGGAGCAGAGCACTCATAAGGGCATATGGATCTCTGGGATCTGAGTTACCCCAGCCTATTTCGAAGCGAGGATGGCGCCACAGGCACGCCTCTATGTCCCTTGAACACAGAGGACATCAACAATTCATATTTGATGATCATATCCTCGGCGCGAAAAATTCCGAGGAACAGCTACGTGGGCTTCAGCTGGATGCCAAAATGAGGGGTCGAGCTGCGTCGGCAGCTGCGTGAACGGCTTAAACTTCGACAAAATCTCCCCATCCTCTGAGTACAATCAACTAGCGTCAGGCATGGATGAACGTCAGAAGTAGCACACGTTGCCCTCCCGTTATGTTGCAGCAGGACGATGTATCGGTTCCATAGAGATTCGAGAATACTCCTTGCGTGGACCAAGATCAGAGAGAGCACAGGACCCAAAGAGACAGGAACGGCCTCCCGGGCCATGGTATTCCATAGCCAATGTCGAAGCGAAGACGCGACTTCGAACACGAAGTGCGCCGCCGAGTCGACGCTGACCGCAAGGCCCTCGGGCTTTAAACCTTTGAGACGCATCGTCTACCGGTGGGCGTAGATAAAGAGATAATACAAGGCAGGTGTCCGATTCGGAACCGAGCATAGATAAGATGACCCCACGCCCGCAAACTGCATCGTTTTGATAGACGCCGGATAGGTTTGACCTCAGGTCGATCGAATTCGAAGATGTGTTAATCAAGTTTCAGCTGGGAGGAGAGGAAGACGAATAAGACGTGCTGCGCGACGTGCGCCGGGAGTTGCCGTCGGCGACAACATCCTGAATCGCGATGTACTCATCGCCGTTGACATTTCTCGCGATCAAAAACCAAATGATCCGGCTCGCGGATGAGAGTGAGCATGTACGCGTGCGGTTATTATACAATGAGTGAATGTATGACATAGATGATCAGGTATCGCGGTAACATATAAAGCAACATAACGAGCAGAAACAATCGAGAGCGTGAAACCTGGATGCCGGCACGACGACTTAACAGGGGAGCTACGCCACTTCGCGGAGGAGATGCTGTAATAACGTGTCCCTCTTCGCAACATCCAACGGAAAGAACTTGTTTTCGTTGTAACAGTAGTCCGAAAGGTCGCTGACGGTGGCGAACTGCTGGACTGGCGTGTCCAGGTCTTCTTGATCCACCAGGTCGTAGATGTTAACATGCGTGTTGTGAACGAGCTATGGTTAAGATCACATCAGATCAGCGACTGCGAGAGATGTAGACCGGCTGCGGTAGGCTCACCTCTCGACAAGACCACAAGTCCGTCGGCATCTCATCCTGGTGGATGCCGATGGCACGACAGAGCTGTTGCCAGGAATGGAGACTGTTAGGGTCCGTGCCGTACCTCTGGTCGAAGTCTCGACCGTACGCGGACTGGAACTTCCACCGTTCGGCTTTGAATCTGACTTTGTCCCAGCGTTGCTGTCGCGACAGGTCATAAAACGCCTCGATGTAGCTGTGCTTGGGCACGCTTTGGCTCTCGGGAAGGTCTTTGAAATACTGCTGCACTTGGCTGAGCGGGGGTCCGTCGAGCTCCTGTTTGATGGCGAGAAAACGCGCGTTCTATGAACGGTTCAATCAAGAACAAGGCCGGCTCTACGCGTGAGATTCCTCACCTTAGCTGCTGTAGTCACGGCCGCAGTCCGATGAGGCTTAACGATGTGAGGCTTGACGTCAGGGAGGATCTCGATATCAGAGTCAGAATCAGAATCGGCATTTGAGTTGGTGGTGGAGTGGTGCGTCCTGGAGGATGGCGATGTCGGTGGGGTCGCAACGTCAGAGTCAGAATTGGTGTCGTCTCCGAATCCTACGTTAAAGTCGAAATCGGAATCCTCCTCTTCCGAGGCCAGGGGATTTGTACCGGATGCCTGATTGAATTAGTGTGGGCTCAGATGTGTTGCAACCTGACCGTTCATATGCCAAAGACGCACCTCGGTCTTGACGCACTGGGTGGGCGTATCGCTCCAGCGATCCGTGGGCTGGGATTGCCACGTCCCCGCCACGTATTCCTCCGCCTCTTGCCGCGTGCAAAAGCATCTATGCTTCGCGTCCGGGTAGCTTCTGACTTGCTTTTGGACCTCGTCCCACGACTCGAAGACGCCTTGCTGTCGACCTTTCTGCACTCCGTAGAACACAACCTTCGGCACCTGATGAGAGCCATCAACTGTGTTTGCGTCTGCAGATTCTGGAAAAGTATGAAATCTGATTACCTGAGACGCCGACGGAGTGCTTGTCAACGCTTGCGTCGAGGCCTCGCGCTTGATGGCAACGCGGGTTGTCGGGGTGCTCTGCGTCGGGAACGCGAACGCATGTGCCTCCTCGCGAGTCTTGAACTTCTTGTATCTAGCATCTGGACACCCGAGAACATACTTCTTCGCCTCGTCCCAAGAGGCATACACTCCTTGCTTGACGCCTCTACGTACGGCATAGAATGCCTCCTTGGGCGCTTTGGGCATCTCGCGGGGGCTTGGTCCTTCCGAGGGTCACTGGTCAGGTCTTGAGGTAAGAACCAAAACGGCGGGAGTCGACAACGAGAGAGAGAGAGTTCAGAGTGTTTAAGAGACGGAGCTCGTCGTTTTCGTGTCCTGCGTAATTTACTGATTTAGCGTGCAGCCGTGCACGCGAGTCGCGCCTTCCTTCCTCTCACGTGACCGCGTTTAGAGGAGAGTCGCGTCAAGGCAGGTAAACTCCCGCCGACAGCGCCAGCAGTGGACGATGGGCTCCTCACTCTCGCCATGGCCCAGGGCACGGGCCTTGGTAGAGTCATGCCACTCCCTGAACATGCCAGAGAGTATGGGTCGAGAAATGGAGTGTGCGTCTATAGCGGGTGTGCCCACCGCTGCAAGATGAACCCCCGGACGACCTGGCATGCCAACTCCCCTATATATGTGTCCCCACAGCGCTGTGCGGGCTTTTGATTTGTCTGCTAAACTGCAGGCTACGGCACGTTCACAGTTCTCCTCTCACCTTTGTAAGACCAATGTGCTCAGCATGAATTCAGGTGTGACGTTGCAATTTGCGCCCACTCTGACCAACATTGATCTACTGCAACGTCCTGATCCTCCATCGAACTCGCCGACATGCACTCGAAGGAAGACATCCGTTGCACCATCACACAACGGGCTGGTCATGCCCAAGAGGCATGCCAACGGCGGGACGCCCCACGCTCGAATTGCGACGCGCTCCCAACGTCACCATATTGAACTGGTCCGATGTTGAGTATAGGTGCGGCATACGCTCTGTACAATTACTGCAGCGAACAATGGTATCGGTATGCATATTGTGCGAGGCTACGAGAAGACAACAAAGTCGCGTGCCGCACGAGTGCGACCGGCTCGGAGCAAAGGACGCCGAGTACACATTACACAGAGGAAGGGACTACATATATCTAGTGCGGCCAGGTCGAAAATGACGCTCGCTTGCCCCATGCATCATCAATAACTCTGTGAACGTAAAGACGGATACTCAAAACGTCGTTCCTTCAAGCGGTCACGGCCAGATACCATTTAATGTCGTCGTCGAGTCCGAGCTCTTCCCGTATCAAACTTAACTCTTCCTCGGTCGGTCGATCGTCGACCGGATCGTAGTTGGAGCAGAGAACCCACAGCGGCAGGAATGGATTCGTGGGGTCGGGCCTGCCGTAGCCACACCGGAATCGGAGCTCCGACCACAGACAGTCGCGTAAGTATCCCAACACGCAATGAAGTGTCGAAACCGTGCTCTTGATGACGTCCGGGTTGTCCTTCTCGGCTGCGGTGGCAAGATCGAAGGTTTTCTTGCTGATATAGACCTCCAAACCACGCTTGGTCGCGTATGAGAGGATCGTATCGTGTTCGAGAGGTATGGCGAGTAAAAGTCCGGGTGGTTGGGGCTTTTGGACTGTCGAGAGCGTGTCGAGCTCTGGGGGCAAATGACGGAATGGCACGAAGGTCGAAAGTGCTTTGAAGGTTTCCTGGCATGTTCCAGAGATAAGTCGACCACGTTGGTTGAGATGTCACAATTGGCGTACCCTTTTGCTATAGTCATCTTGGTTCGGTGAGATGAAGTACCGGTACCACGGGGAATTGAGAGGATCAGGTTCGGGAGAGGGGGAAGTGCGCTTGGGGAGCCGCACTGTCAGCGTATAAGGAAATGGTCCCAGAGGAGTATCATCGGGGGTCGCTGTCGAAGACATGGCGACCGCGGTCGACAAGCTGTTTAAGTACTCGATGCGCGCGTTTGACGGTCTGAGACGTGAGGGATGTAACTGAACCCGAGGTGAACAGGCATCAGCAGACTACGAGCACTCGTTTCCGACGCGCGTACGTGCACAGCGTATTAGCAGCCTCGGGATCACTTTCGGCAACGACGCTGCAATCCCAGAGCACGTTAGGAAGAGATCAAGAGATAATCCTCTCGAGAGGATACAGTCATAGTTCATGTGCAGTGAAGCATAGCTGCGTGTGCGATTAACGTACAAAGTATAGAAGGTGAACGAGATGCTAGGTATCGTGGTGTCATTGTCGGAGTGAAATGTTACAGGAGGAAAACGGCTTCACACATCGTTACACTTCAGCGCCCAAGACCTTACGGAGAAAGAAATGCAATAGAGATCCGTCCTTTGCCCATTTCTTCGGGAAGAACATGTCGTATTTCCGACAATACGAGGCGAGCGCTTCCAAGCTAGAGAATCGTTTCACGGGCGTCCCTAATATCTTGTAGTCCACGAGATGAAATATGTTGACGTGCACACTGCGAATCAACTGCAGTGAAAGATGTGGTCAGCGACCGTTTCCACCAGCTAGGACGTCTTTCGACTGACTGCGCGACATGTCACCAGATCGTGCGGGATGTCTTCTTCCCTGGTCCCAATCGCACGACAGAGGTCCTGCCAGGATCGGAGACAGGTCGGGTCCGTGCCGAACATCCTGCAAAAGTCCGTCGTATATGCTTGCTTCAGCCTGGTTCTCTCGTACTTGACTCTTCTATCGGTCCAACCTTGCGTCTGCGAAAGCTGGTGGAAAGTCTCGACATAGTTCTTCGTCTGCGGCAGACTTCGGATTCCGGGAAGTTTTTCGAAGAACTTCTGAACTTGGCTGGAGGGCGGTTCATCCGGGTCCTGTTTGATTACACCCGACTGCCGCTTTGGTGCGCCGGACTCCTGCTTGATAGCGAGGAGACGCGAGTGCTTCACGAACTTGTATCAGGAAGAACGTCCTTGTGTCTACGTACGTGTGACGTACCTGGAGAGCAGGTGCCGATTGTGGAGGTCGACGTGTTGAGGGCGGGGCGTCGGGGAGAATCTCGATGTCAGAGTCGGAATCGGAATCGGAACTGTCGACGATCCCGGCGCCAAAATCAGAATCAGAATCGGATTCGTCTGAGGCAAGCGATATCGGATTATTCTCCTAGAGGAGCAGACATTGTAGCGCTCCGTCTACAAAGGGGCAAGGTGGTACGTACCTCCGCTTTGATGCACTGAGTGGGTGTATCGCTCCATCGTTCCGTGGGCTGAGATTGCCACGTCCCCGATACGTATTCCTCCGCCTCTTCACGTGTGCAAAAGCATCTATGCTTCGCGTCCGGATAGTCCTTGACTTGCTTCTGAACCTCGTCCCACGACTCGAAGACCCCCTGCTGACGACCCTTTTGCACGCCGTAGAAAACGACCTTCGGTACCTGAACTCAAGGTGGTCAGGCACATTTCTCTGAGTACCTGCGCACTCATAGGTTTTCTTACCTGCGACGCCGAGGGAGTGCTGGGTAATCGTTGCGTCGAGCACTCGCGCTTGATGACGATAGTGGACGCAGGTGTACTCCGTATGGCAAACGCGAACGCATGGGCCTCATCGCGTGTCTTGAATTTCTTGTATTTAGCGTCCGGGCACGTAAGCACATACTTCTTCGCCTCATCCCAGGAGTCGTATACCCCTTGCTTAATGCCTCTACGAACGGCGTAGAATGCCTCCTTCGGCGCTTTGGGCATTACGAGCACTCGGATAGGGGTTATTCAGGGATAGAGTTCAACCAGGAGACCAGGGAGGACCGGTCAGGAAAACGAGCAGTACGACGGAGTCAGGTTCAGTTGGAAGATGGATCTGGTCGTTTCGGTGTGTTGCCGCCGGAAGCTGCGTAATTCACCAGATTGACGTGCAGCGCGGATACGCGAGCGAGCCCTCGTCATCACTGCGCGTCTTCCTTCTTGCACGTGACCGCGTTGAGAGGTGGTTCCGGCAGGAGCGCGGATGGACACAAAGTAATCAGGGTGAAGGAGCATACAGTACGAGGTGATACGCGAGGAAGCAAATCAAAGGAGGGTTACAAATAAGGTACATCCAAAACATGCACGGCAAATCAACGAAGCATGTTTCAGGAGTACTCGTAACCTTCGTCGTCACCTTCGTCTTCTTCATCATCTTCGTCTTCGTCGTCGTGACGGTTATGGTAGCCTGTGTTGTACCCCTGTCCCCAGCTCCTGCGGAAGTTGTTGGGATTGCAATATCTATAGCCATAGCCGTAATCATTCTCATCCTCCTGATTGTCGCCGGTGTCGTCGTCGTCGTCGTAATCGTAATCGTTGTCATCATGGTTATCGTCGTATTAATCCTGCTCGCAAGATTCCTCTCCCTCTTCCTCGTCGTCCCGTGGTTCCAAGTGACGAAGCAAAGACCGGAGCAGTCCTCCGGCCTTGAGGTGCGAAGCAGGAAAATACTTGTCTTGGCCCGCGCAGTAAGAAGCCAGATCCTCCACGCTGTCGAACCGTTTCAAGGGTTTTCCAAGCAACCTGTTGTCGACAAGATTGTAGATATTGACGTGCGATCTCCGAACGAGCTGTCACAAAATGCTAAATCTGAAGCTGGACGGTGATGTACACAGGGAGAACACATACCCGCCGACATGCATCCAAGTTGTCTGGTATCGAGCTGATGCCGATGGCGCGACACAGTTTCTGCCAAGACGCCAAGCTGTTGGGGTCCATGCCGAACTCATTGTTGAAGTCTTGAGCGTAGGCGTCTTGGAGCCTCCCCTTTTCGGACCTGGCCTTCATGCTCGTCCAGCCTTCGTCTCGAGATATCGCGTCAAGTTGGACGGTGGGATTGCAGACGACCGTGGTCCGTGATGTGCCCCCGGAAGATCGAGAAAAGAATCGACCAACTTGGCTGGATGGCGGTCCGGCAACCTCTTGACGAGGTTCTACGTTGGATTGTGAATGTACTTTCGATGGTGCACGGGAAATCCGGGCCGCGGCGCCTGGCGCTGATCCAGAAGCTCGCCGAGTCGCAGACTGTAACTCTTTAGAAATTGATAACGTTCGATGCTCGAAAGACTTTTGGATCGACGCACCTGTGCATTGATGGGCGCTGAGCGACCCGCATTCGCTTCACTGGCTTGGACCGGAATAACATGAAAGGCATCCGGTCCCGAGACAAACCGCACTGAGTGCGCGTATTCGAAAGCCTCGCCGTAAGTAGGGAAACACTGGTGTTCGACGTTTGGGAATCCGCGGGCTTGCTCTCGGACTTCGTCCCAGGAGCCGCATACGCCCTGCTCTCACACAGCGTAGAAAGTCGGCTCGTTGTGCTGAACTAGCGAGTCAATACATGTTATACAGAAAATGCGAACATCAGCGTGCACGCAACTCGGTCTCCGGACCCGACCCAGTCCGTGAATATTGTACCCTTTGAATTTTCGACAAGAGCAGCGGTAGGTTGGCGAGCGGGTGCATTTGGATACGCATACGCGTAAGCCTCGACATACGTTGCGAACATCTTATATTTGGCGTTCGGATAACTGAGGACGTATTTCTTGGCTTCGTCCCAGGTGTTGAATACGCCTTGGTTTTTTCCTCTCTGAACGGCATAGAAGGCGGTCTTCGGGGCTTTGGGCATTGCGCCCGCGGTAGTTGACGATGGAAATTGCTCATGCTGACGCGCTGGCTGTGTGCGCAGCTCCCGTAAACCAAACGCGTCGCGTTAGCTGGTCAGGTGATCGCGCCTTCGCCGAGCGTGCTGCGTGTTGCCACTGCCAGAAATCAGGAACTCCGAGCGAATGAAACTCTGAGTATCCTGATTGCATAGACAGGCACATAGGCTCGCCTCCACAAGCTCGCAGGTAAAGCTTCCAGAGAGCAGGACGGTCGGCAACACTTGCAATCGATTTCCCACACTTGTGGCCAATGGCGCATTCCTTTCCTGTGGGCTTCTGTTTGCTAGACGTTTGCTCCTCTTTCAAGTCCGCTGGCGATATCACGACCTTACAATGCCTTATCATTTGGGTGAGCACATCCATGATGAACTCGTGCTAACCGCGTAGTAGTGTTGCTTGATGACCGCAACGATAAGAAATGGCTGCAGATTAGTGGCCTTGTGTGGAACACCGACCTCCGATGATGCCCCGGCGTCCACAGACATTTCAACGAGGTATATATCCGGGAATGAGTGCGCCATGGTGGATAATGCTTGTTCAATGACACTTCTGGCCGTTAATATGCGGTGCAGGTGTATCTGCAGAGGTGCAATCAAGAGTTGACGACTCCGTACAGCCAACCAGTACGGAACTACCTAGCGATGAATATAGGTCTAGTGAACGCGATGATCTACCTCGGTAACATCGACTGCAATACGGAATGACCCATCGCGGTACTCATCAAGGCGACATGCGAGCCTAAGGCTATATCTGCGACGCAGTGTGGACCATCAGCCTCGCGGCTTGCGCGCGTCGTGTCGATGACTGTAAACAATCATGACGGTCGTCTCCCAAGATCGAACAACTGTGACCGTGGAAGAAATTTAGAACCGCGCAACCTTGTTCACCACGAACTACCCGACACTCTTCCTTACCACACCCCTAATCGTCTCGCTCGCTCTCCCAAATATAGCGCCATGTTTCCTTCCTCCGTCGGTGAGTCTGCCGAGCATGCAGTTCTCCTCAGCGACCTGTACATACAACTAACCTCAATACCATAGGAGTGCCCATCGCCACGCCGAGCGGTCTAGTGGGTGATTATCGCCACACGCAGGCGACAGCCCTCTACTCGCCGATGGCCACCGCTGTGGCACTGAACGAGTCGGCGTATCGGTCAATTCTTAGAGCCATAGCTGCAATCATTGCCAACGCCAAACCGAACTCCGCCGTTGCCGTGTCGTTCGATCCCTCCGACGCCACCCCTACGTTTGTTTTCGCTCGTTCGGGAGGCGCCTTCGACAGCGACTTGCATATCGCCAAAGACTTCCTTCTAGCAGCAGCAAACGCATCGACCGTCTCCGACATCTGGTCCTTCATTGTAAACGCGGCGCCGGGATACATCCTGCACATTTGCAGTGAGATACATGCGGCGACTAAACTTCTCCTAGCTCTTAACAGAGATGCCCCCGGCCATGAAAACTACAAGGCAGCAGAGAACGATATGACTATCCTTGCGCTTCGCGCGGAGCTTGCCAGAATGGACATAGAGGAAAACGGTGACCACAAGGTACGTCCATCCTCTGCTATCGTCTTCTCGGCGCATAAGAACCAACGTGTTCTGACATCATCATTACAGGTTCGCAGCCCAGGATGGAACCCCGTCTCAAAATGCACAAAATTGGTGGACATCGCCAATCAATTGCACCACACCTTCTGCACGCTCTCGCTATCCCCTTATGATCCGCCATATCTTCGTTCTCTCCGAGATGTGACGGCGCGCCTTGTCGATTTTGGGTGTGCCCTAGATGCCATGGTCCAATGGCGCGCCGGTCTCTTCGTCCGGGTCCGCGGACTACACACGAACGACGTCCCTCATTTCTGGGCATGCCTGTCCTTGTCTCGTGTTGGTACTGACGTCGTGAACGTTCCGGTAGAGGACCTGTCTATCCGGCTCTACAGCATCTATTCCACTCTAGAACTCGTACCCAAGACGGCACGTACACATGCCGAGCTGCAGATTCTCATCTGGATCGCGACGTTCAAGCCGCAGAAAATAGAAAACGGGTCTTGGTACATGGAGTCTAGCGAGACGACATTCGTTGGACCGACGTCCGCGCCCAATCAAGGGAACCGTGTCACCACCTCCAGCACCGTCGGGGGAGGGCTGCCGTCGGTCGTATCCTATGCTCAGGGTTGCATGGAACAGCCGTCAGAGGTCACGATACACCACCCGCAACCCCGCCGCCCAGTCGCCCCTACCCTCCCGATACCCTACTCCGGGGTGCATCCGAGCAGCCACTCCACTGCCCGTCACAGTGGCCACGAATATGTTGCACCTGGTGGCTATGGTCCGGATCTTTCAGGATAAAGACGTACCAGCAGCGCCTTTCGTGGGTTTCTCATAGAATTTATGACTTTCTTCCTGTTGTATGTGTTTCAATACTCGCACTTCCGTACATAGAGACTGCGAGAATTACGAATGAAATATGTCGACCAGGTTCTTCTTGCCCGATGCGCGTTATTCTTTCGGCTTCGCCTTTGTCAGTGCACGTTTAAGAACGCCGACGAAGTCCTGAGTGAAAGCCGTCGGAGCCCTCTTATCGTGGACAAAGAAACTCAGGTGGACTGTAGCCACAGGTGCACTCAGTCGTATCGGCGTAAGCTACCGGTACCCACACGAGCTGCGTGTACGTCCATCCGAGACACGATCCGCCGAGTTCGCTCGAACGGAACCTGCACACTCCCCGCGCGCAGTCTATCAACGGACCCCCCCCCCCTCCCCCTCCCCAATCCCGTAGCTCAGCTGCAGAACCTATGACATTGGTAAGCTGTCCAACGCGGAGCAAGTATTGCCCTCGGTCACCTGGAGATTCTCTCTCACCCTCTCCCCGTGTATCATCTTCCGCGCGACGCTCGTTCATCGACACGCTCCCCTTCCCTTACGCACTACTCGTAAGCATTGCATCTCTCTCAAGCTTATGCTCACCGGAAGAGGAGCGCACGGTGAGATGCATACCTCGCTCGACGTAGAACGCGTCGCAGAGCGTGTTGCGGGAGGTGCGGGTGCAGGGCGTGATCTACGGATGCTCAAGTAGAACACGCCTATGGTTCGTGTTTTGAACTGTAAGCAGGAGGGCTTCCATCGATGACCATGTGTCGGCGATAGTTGGATGTTCGTCTGGCTGTAGCGTTCGTCCGGTCCATTTTCCGCACAGTATTCAGCGTCACATGTACAGATGATGAGACACGGGAGCCAGGCACGAACCCTGAATCGACGGAAAGAGGCGAGTTAACGAGATAGAGGTCGACGTAGCTTTGCGAGGCGTTTGTCGAGCGCCTGCGCAACTCGACCACGGTCACAGAAAACCGTGGCACTCAATCGGCCACAGAGGACTGCATGTAACACATACTCGAGCTCGATCGTAAGCAAGACCCCATCACGCGAAACGTCCGAATTGCGCAGAGCGCGGCCTACAGATCGATCGTCACCTGCAATCCAAGTAGAAGATGATTACGGAGGACGCACTGCAGTATCCTCGCCGTGGTTTTCTGCCTGCACATAAGCGAGATGTAGAGACGGTAACGGAAATAAAATCGAAGGGGCACCCCATGCAGGGAAGCACCGTATCGATGTGCCGATAACCTGTAGTAGGAGCTTGTTGAACCATGTCGAGGACGTGATTGCCTTTGCCAGAGAAGGGAGACCTTTTCTACATCTGATATACAGGTTAGTGATGGGCTGAAAGGGAGGGAATCGATGGTGCTATCAACATGCCCTATACCGATTGAGGGCACATACAGACTGCTGTAACTGAGCTGAAAATACTGTGCAGTCTCGGACAGAGATGTTCATGAGGGCAACAGGCTAACCGCCGGCGTTCTAGGAAACTTGCCACGCGGTATCGCGGTTCTCCGATCGGATCGGCGTTCAAATGCCGATAGGATACCACTGCCTTTCTCCATCGACACGACATCCTTGTCAGTTTGTCGTGTCCTTCCCGCAAACCACCATGGCCTCAGCGCAGGTCAAAGCGCCGACTATCCTCGAGAAAATCTACGCGCAGCGTCAACAAGACGTCACCGTCGCGCAAGCCACACCCGGCACCTCCTTCGCCGACCTCGACACCTACCTCGCGATGGGTCTGGCACCGGCCCTCATCCCTCTCATTCCTCGCCTCAAGCGCAACCCATCCACACTCTCGTCGATCCCGGGGGTCTCTCTCATGGCAGAGATCAAACGCGCGAGCCCGAGCAAAGGCGACATCGCGCTCACCGCCAACGCGCCGCGCCAGGCGCGCGCGTACGCCCAAGCGGGCGCGAGCGTCATCTCGGTTCTGACGGAGCCCAACTGGTTCAAGGGCTCGCTCCTCGACCTCCGCCTCGCGCGCCAGGCCGTCGACGACCTCGGGCCGGACAGGCCCGCGCTCCTGCGGAAGGAGTTCATCTTTTCCGAGTACCAGATCGCCGAGGCGCGCCTGTGGGGCGCCGACACCGTCCTCCTCATCGTCGCGATGCTCGCGCCCGAGCTCCTCGAACGCCTATACGCATACTCTGTCTCGCTCGGGATGGAGCCGCTCGTGGAGGTCAACAACGCGGACGAGATGCAGCGCACGCTCACGCTCGGCGCGAAGGTGATCGGTGTGAACAACCGGAACCTGCACGACTTCAACGTCGACATGGGAACGACGAGCCGTCTAGTTGACATGGTCAAGGGGCGCGAGGTCGTGTTCTGCGCGCTAAGCGGTATTTCGGGCCCGGAGGACGTGAGCGTGTACAAGGAGCAGGGCGTGCATGCGGTATTGGTCGGGGAGGCTCTCATGAGGGCGGAGAACACGAGCGAGCTCATACGACAGCTACTCGATTGGCCGACGGACGCGTAGTTATATAATCGGAGGAGAAGCGCGCTCTGTATGTACTGTTGAATTTCACGCGATTGGGATAGTCCCCGCTCACAACTCATCTCAGCTTCTCCGGGCCCATAGACGAGAACGTTGCTGTGTCCGGCAGGTCCAGGATTGGATGCACAAGAACTTCTCAGTACGCCGTACATCTCTGCATCAATTACTCCTGCTGTCTACAGGGACGGAGCCGTATCCGGCGACAGGAACTGATGTGAGGACACTCAGCGATTCTGGCGTCATTTGATGCAAGATGCCCAATCCCGCGCGCCCTCCTCTCCCTCTTCCACCCATCATCGGAAGGCATACGCCCGAATATCGTGCATACGCAGACTAATTATCTCGCGTAACCAGGGCCTCGTGAGTCCGCGTTGGCTCAGGTACTACCACCATCTCCGACCAAATACGTGCAGCATCCACCCGTATCTCCAGGTCGGAATAAGATCAAGAGTAGCCGTGAGCAAATCATGTCCTCCACAACTGGAAACATTCTGTTGTTGGAAGACACGGGAGGTGAGGACACTTGTTTTGGCGGGGTGAAGTGACCGCATTTTTTAATCTTTGTCACGTCGCAACTTCATAGGCTAGTATACTGTACGAGACAATAATCTAGCTGATAAAATACGACCGGGAAACAAATAATCCTCGACGCAAATTAGCTTGCCGTCCACGCAAAGCCGATCCCGACGTAATCGGAATATGTGTTCCATGATTACATCATTGTGATTCGCTGGCATTCGGTCTGGGGGTTGTCCACAGCTTGCCTTGCAGGTTATCAGACAATACGTTCGAAATGACAAGCATGATGGGATACGCCACAGGGCCAACTTGCTCGCCTGACTAGCTCTCTTGTTCAATTCACCTTTTCCGACCAGCGATTGGTGCGTTACAGTTCATTCAGTTATTACAACGAAGAGTGAAGGACATCCATCTGACTTGACGGTATTTCAGCTTCACTCACGGACACACCCACTGTCATGACCGGGCCCGCGGCCGTGCGTGTTAAGTTCGGCTTGACTGCGATTCGGAGTTGGGGATGGTGCCGCGAACACCTTGTCCGCCTTTGAGTTGTGAAGGAGTCGCCTACGCATGACGTAGAGCTCGGTACAAACGACAGCTACTCCGCAAGCGCGACTTCCAACAATTTCCAACCTCCTTGGATCATCCGCCCGTAGCCACCCCGGATTCTGGTTCGTCGCACTCGGCTCTACCTCATGGTCTACCAGTATAACGACGTCGGTGAGTGCCCGTTCATCGAATCTGGAATACGCGTTAGGCCGATTACCCTTCTTTGAAATGGGGCAGGGTTGAGCCGCTGACTGAGGCAGCGCCGAATGTACGGTGTGCGACTCCGTTGACGCAACATGAAGGCTGACCTGCAGAAGAAAGTTGGAAATGGTCGTGACGCTGGCCAACAAGACATGCAGTCGCATTGGAATTGCACGGGTACGCGGCTAATCTACCATATTGCGCTTTCTGACGCCCCTCAAAGGTATATAAACCGCTTTTCCATGCTTCTGTTGGGCCAGTCGACCACACAATCGTAACAGACGTCCAGCTACCAGTCGTATAAACACCGGCATGCGCTTCCAACTCGTTCTGATCACCTGCCTCGCCGCTGTCGGCCTCGGTGCTCCGGTGGAAGAAAAGAAGTTCGCCATCCGCACCTGCCCCGGAGGCGGACCAGGCACGGCGTGCCCCGAGGGTTTCTTCCTGGTAAGCCCTCGCTCCCATCTTCTTGCGCATCCTGGACTCATGATCCCCAACTATAGTGCCACAACACTTGCGTCGGCTGCGGTGGTACTTGCTCCGATTAGACTCGGACCTTCGTGTTACACGGACGAGGTGGGGCCTCCGTCTTGTGTCCCATGTGCAGCGCTTCACTAACATTTCTGCTTCTAGTCGCACTTACCGAGTAGTTCATACCTATATTCGCAATTGTTCATGCGCAGGTGTCGAACGTGGTCGGGCAACTGCTCACTAAGCCCGATATCGCGTCTTCGGTATTCTCTCGCTGTACTCGTCCTTTGCAATGCCACATTCGCAAACCATCGTCGTCGATGTTCACTGGGTTCGCAGCAACGGGCTGAGATACTGTCGCGATTTCTGGCAATCGTGACGGCAACGCAGATTCCGATAACGTGCTAAAAGGGAGCCACGTTGCACTTCGACGCCTTGCGTACAAATATAAGTTCTGGCGTGGGTTATCAATATCTTGAGAACACCGAGGCGCTGAACTTCTTATGCAGCTTCTGATGGGCTGGTGTGGTGGCAGTAGGCGATTGATGTCGGACTTCGACGGTGGACACAACAGGAGCCCCACTGCGAATACCGATGGAAGGATGGCAGTACAATCGAAGACTGCTGGTCAATCAATGGGCGATATGAGTTGCTGTGCCCGCGCAGGCATCACTTCGCTATGTTCATGGAATAGAACTTAGATATGTATTTGCCACTGTCAGACTTGGGATCTTGGGATCTTGGTAACGATGATCGGCGAGCCTTGCTCAGTGTTTCTCCCAAGCAATCAGTGAGCGACGAGTCAAGTACCAAGGAAAGAGGAAACACTCACCGATAGCAGTCAACTCCCGCCTTCCGCCATGGCCAGCATTTACGTCCATATCGAAGCGGTACACACGATCATTGTTGAATGATGATCGCCATGCCACAGCACCTTGATCATCACAGGGCACCTTAGGGCAAAGCTGTCCCCCTACATTTAGACTGGATTCCATGCTGCTTCACCCCCCCTACCGTGACCATATCAGTTCCTTATGAGTATATGTAGTCACAAGTGTCAATATGGCTGCATTTAGAAACGCTATCTTTAACGGGGAATGTAGCATGATATCACAAGTACTTTGACTGAGCGTATAAGTACCTTTGTCCTTCCATAACCGTGTACGCCAGAGATTGTCACCCATGTCTGCCAACCCCGACATTACACTGGTTTTGCAAGGAGCTGCATCCATATTTTCGAGCTTCTACACTCATCTTACACCACTTATTGTCGTGGAATCGTTTTTCTTCGGTGCGCCGTGCAGTATCTCACCCTCAAGAATTCGTCATAATGTCCAAATAGGTGTCGCCTCTACTGCAGCGCTGATATGGGTCTACCAGACAATGTCTGCCCGCTTACTACCATCCACCTGGGTACCTGAACTTACCTCATCTTATGTAGATTCCTTAGGACTCATAATACTCCTCGCACTCTGAGACTTCCTGAAGCCGTGGCGAGTGCAATATATGCACTTTTGACGGTGCATTGGGCATTTTCTCTGAATGCTTATCTTGAAGTAGTCTCAGAGATGCAAGTATTCTAGTTTCATACTGATCCACTATTAATACCGATGCAGCTCCAAATTTACAACCTCCATTGAGTTGAACATTGCCCCGAACTGGTTTGAATCTTCGGTTTCTACCAACTTCCTTCCTTTCATCACTGAGACCGTGCTTTTTGGTGAGATATCCATTCCTATGTGATTTTGTTGATAAGTCTCAGATTGATTAGGTTCTTCATCCGCTCTGTTCGTATTGACATGCTACCTCGCCTTACGGTACGCTCAATGTCATTCTCGCGAGATCATAGAAACAATGGCTGATATTGTGCACACACAACAAAGGAAACCAGGAGGCACTCTCAACTACATTATTCGTGGGACTTTGTGTCTCATGTACCTGGTATCCGCTGTGCACTGGTCCATTGACCTCGCGTCGTGCATGGAATGGTACCGGCTATACGAGTCATCCAATGTTTACTCCCCTGATGGATCCACTATGCAAGACTTGCCACGGTGGTATACAACTGCAGAGCTTACCCTCATTACCATCAATGTATGTATATGCTCCTCCTGCCAGCCATTTATGAGCTTTACTCAATGCTGCTTATAGACCGTACTCAGTGATTCCGTAGTATTGTGGCGCATGTGGATTGTGTGGGACAGGAGATCTTACATTCTGTGGTTATCAATTGTGGTCGTCCTTTTCACATTCGGTGGGGTTTCCATCGTTTATAGCTACTCACAGAGATACACAAAATAACACTCTAACAGGAACATCTACTGCAAATATCATAAGCACCAAGGGTGCGTTCGGTCCCGTGGATGGTGACTTCAAGAAGACTGCGGCACTTCCTGTCTTCAGCTACAGTAACTGGGGTCTAATCACTAGTGTATCTTCACTGGCTTCTAACGGGATAGCTACAAGCCTTATCGCGCTCAAAGCATGGTGCACACTCTTCGCACTGTGGAAGCAACTATGATGAGAACCTGAGAATGCTGACGCTGAAGTACAGGATGCATCGCAAGAAGATATCTGCAAATTTCAAACTCGGACCCTACCGTACGAGAACGGAGCGAATACTGAGTATATTTATCGAGTCAGGGGCTGTATACTGTTGCCTTTGGGTAGGTGTGTCAGTGTGTCAGAGTGTCATGGCTCATTTTTTGTTGGCTAGCTCGTCTGGATCCTTAGCGGCTCTGGAGTTGGGACATTCAAGATTGATGGCTGGCAAGGGAATCCATTCATCGACAATATGAACGTTGCCATGGCTCAGGTCACAGTATGTGATATTTGATCTCTGTCCGCGCTCAGCTCCAGAGACAAGCATTTTTAGGCGATCTATCCCACATTAATCTTGATCTTGGTCGCGCTTGAACGTACACACTGTGACCGAGGGTTCATAATGGGTGTTTCTGGCGGTGGTGCTAGCCAGAAGACCACCATTTTCCCTGAAATGCACATCAACGTGGACGTTGTGGTAGATCGCAGATCGGCACACGACAGAAGACCCTCCTACCTCGATGGAGACATGGAATCGGCCACGTCGATTGAAGTGGAAAATAATGAGAAATAACGTGGTTGGATGTGCTCAAGTTTTCGATGGCCACCATTGTGCCGACATTTCATCGCCAATCAGTACACGAAACCGAACAATCTGTGGCCGTTCTGTATGTATTATGTATGATCAGATCCAAATTGCTGTCCTCGTATCAAATGGTTCCGGCTTCTGCGTGTATGACACACTGTTTAATATCCAGTTCTGTTGTACTCGACTCTATGCTCATGACGAACGGGAAAAGAATCTGACATGAAAACTCCATAATTTGCACGCATTGGCGAGGTACTATCAGCACACATGTGCGTGTCTGACCGTAGTCCGGCTGTACGTCAGTCAGAGAATGAGGCGATTACTCGTGACGCTCGCAGCACACCTTGTACATTGGCAAGCTTCGCTGTAAATATTCCACGCTTCAGCGTGTTTTATCTCTAGTATATCGTGAAGGAACCAATTGTATACACATCAGTTTATAATCCCCACCGTACAGTGATGACGAACCCGCATCCCAAACTCGGAGTATATATTTCTCTCGTTCACCGTCCATTAATCTGCCTGATGATACCATGATGTGATGATTCTATTGCAGACTCAGCGGTCCACCACCGCATGGCTCCACTCTGCTCTAGCATGACCCCAGGATGCGCTTTCAGGTGCGTGATATCGAATGCGTCTTCACGTGTTCAGAGCAACGATCCTATTATTGAGTTGCCATACGTCGCGGCCCGTCCGTGTTGTCGTGGAAGCTGTGTCCGTGTTCGGTGGAGAGGGTTTGAGCAGATCAAGACCACCTTGCACCACATGCTGCACCAGCAGCTCCACAGGGGCGGTACACCGCGAGGTGTGGTTTGATCTCGTGTATATCGGCCAAGGTCAGCTTACGTACTACTGCAGTAAGTTCTTTGCCATGACAGGTTGAAAACCTCCAATTAATCGAGACGACTTGGTTAGCGCTGATGTTCGCACTCACTCACCATCTGGGAAGGTCGGCATTCGAAGCATCCGCCCGCATGGGCATGGTTCTTTGTACGGATGCATCTTCACCTCGTCCATATCAGTGTGTCCAGGTTCAGCAACTTTACCCCACTTTCTCAGCGTTTTTCGCATGAGTGAGCCAAAGCTATGATGAATCGCATGCACATAAACATTGCCAGCGGTGTATGACCTTCCGCTCATTCTCAAGCACATCCACGGCCCCTTGTTTCCATGTCCTTACTCCAAGCACTGAACGTGTCGCAGATAGTGGAGGTCTCTGATATCGCCTTCACATTCACGTTCAGCCGGCTCACGCCACTCGCAATCGTTGAGACGTTTGCTCTTGGTGAGTACCTTTCATTCAACATCGGAGAAAGACACACTGAAGTACTTCTGTCTAGGAGTTGCGTTGACGCTGGTTTTAATATGGTTCTACTGGTCGTTGTAATGCACATGCGTCCTTCAAACCACCGCGTTCCCCTCATAACATATGAGTTACAGGTTCATACAACCCGCGCAAACCATACTCAGACCAGCAGCTATCACTCTCGTGGGACTAGTCGGATTCCTTATCCTGCATTGGGCGCTGTATATGTCTGATATACTCGATCTCTTCTGGGGACGGTGAGTCGTATATCATGACTACATTAATGAGGAGCAAATGTACAATCTGTGTGACAGGGCCTTGAAAATGCCATTCATACTGTACAAAGGGAACCACTCGAACATTCCTGGCCCCAAAAATACAACTCCTAGTGGCGGGGCGCTCCACCTAGGGACTCAAGAGTGCGCTCTGCTAGCACTGCTCCCATTTATCGTGGAAACAGCTTTTTTTGGTATGTAGTATGCCGCCCATGCGACTATCACGGATAAGTGCTCACGAAGGACTTTTCCACAATACAATACCCCGTGTTTAGGTGTCACCACCACACTATTCATCACACTGTGTTATATCACCATTAAGTGAGTTACCGTACTCGATTATTCGTTACAGCAGTTCAAACCGATTTAGCACCATCCTACCTCAAGCGCGAGTTCAAGAGCATTTTATCCGTGGCTGTATGTGCTGCGTGTACATAGCATCTACTCTGCATTGGGCGATCGATTTGGCAGCGTGCATTGCAGCCGCTCGTCTCGTCGCCGGGAATTCTCTCACAACTACCCTGCCATCTATGTGGTACCTCTCCGCACACCTCGTCCTTGTATCGATCAACGTAAGTCTTGATGATGTACTGCTCAATTCCCCGTGTTGATACCGACCCCTAGGTAGTCCTGAGCGATGCCGTAGTGCTTTGGCGAATGTGCGTACTCTGGGGCATGCCACGGGGCCTTGTCGGTATTTCTATATTTTTCATCATGTTAACTCTATGTGAGCGACTGTGCGATCATCGCGATGCGAAAACACTGATAGCTTCTGTTCTTACCATAGGCTCCTCCGTTGCCAACGTCTCAACTCTGATCAGTACGAAGGCCTTGGTGCACGAGACTTCCAGTGAATTGCCGACTGCATACAAGTTTTACGCAAGATTGCCGACATTCAATTATTTCGTCTGGGGGATGATCACTAGCGTCTCTTCGCTGCTATCCAACTTCACCTCGACGTGCATGATTGCGTGGAAAACATGGTTCGCTTTCCTATTCAATTTCGATACGTCTGCTCGATCTCATCTACTTATGTTGCAATTTAACACATACTAGGACACATCGCAAGATTATCGCCGTATTTCTCAGAAATAGCTCGCGCAGAAATACCACGGACAGGGTCATGATCATTCTCGTGGAGTCGGGCGCGATGTACTGCTTACTATGGGCGAGTGTCTTCATCACGCTCGGGGCTCAGGGCAACTGTGATAAAATCTTACCCACACAGATCCTGTGGTTGATCAGCAGCGTCGGTAAGATGCCGAACGTGACAGAAGCCTTTGTCGTCAACAATTTTGTCGACTACATGAACTCTGCTATGGTACAGCTCACGGTATGTCTCGCGTTTCTTCTGCTCTTCGTCGGCACCGATTCGAGTCTTCACAGGCGATTTATCCACTCATAATATTCCTTCTCGTGGCGCTGGAGCGTACGCACTGTAATCGCGGCTTCTTGCTCGGGGCGCCACCTCGTATACGCCCGGTTGAGATGGTTGTACGGCCTGTCACGCCCATCCGGTTTCACGTCTCCACCGCTGACGACGACAACGCCATCAAACCACCCACAGCTTCAAAGGTTCGACCGGGCTGATACCGAGTCTTTCACGGCCGGTACTTGACGAAGGCGATATCGTATATACGCTTGACACCATTTCGGCGCCTCTTTATGGCATCGCGAATGTCCATCGTCTTTCGTAATCCCACCGGTTTGGCTGCGACGCTGTTCGTGCGTCGGATAACCCTCGCTTGTTCGCAGCGATGAAGCACGTTCTAGCGTGCGAGATTAAGATAACTCCGACGCGGAAATCATGCCCAGGTGAACCATCCCGAGTGGGCGCCGCGCTCGATACGAATGAAGGGTCGTTGCAGGGACCGAGGCGTAGTCAATCGAAGAGCACCGGGCGCGGGGAGAAATTGTCTTCTGAGACATTTTACCGTCATCAGTGCGATCCGGTAGGATTCTCGTCTCCACGTAAGACCCACGTCGACCAAGTGGCGGGCCGTGGTGCGGCCATCTATCCTTGCTCTACTCCTCATGGGTGCGGATTGCACTGCTCGGGTCGGAGAGAGCGCGGTGGTCGACGAAAACGTCCTGGATTCTGGATTAAGGAGGGGCTAATATGGTCGCTCATATGCCGGCGAACCGATGAGAGACGGTGGGAACGCATGGGTCTGTATATCTGTAAACAGCTTCTTGGAGGCGACCTGAATTTTGGGGCCTGGACTGTGCGGGGGAGAGGATCAAGAAGATGGAATCTCGCTCTCGGAAAGCGACCCATCGTCGGTCGAGGAATTTTTGTTTCAGGGTACTCGACGTATCTTGCGGTTCCGGCTTGGGAAGAATGCGAGGGTGTGATACGAGACCGATACGTGCAAAGCGAGACATTTGGAGCGCTTCTTCTCCGGTTGATTTCAGCTGACGCAAAGCGAGGGGTCAGAAGTGAGTCGCGCAGGACATAAGTAGCAAGCCGCCGAGACTTCGATCCTGCGCGGTGAAGTCCGACAGAGCGGAAGGGAGACGTTGGAGCCCTATATCAGGGTAACTCACATAGGTCAACAGGATACCGACTTCGTGACTCGCCACACCGGCCACACGCTGGCCCGAGATCCGGTATTTCGCCACTCCTCCTCGACAAGCGCGGTCGGGGAAACAATCAATCAGACTACGATTTCCAGCAGGGTATAGATACAACAACAAGCAGGGTCCGAGAGAGCGAGCACCGAGCGAAGCTCGGTGCGCCGTCTTGGGGAGAGGGAGCACGTATCGTAGCACCGCGTCAATGTATATCTTCCCACGCTTCTCCTTTCCGGAGCCTCACCGCGAGAGCGGCCGGGGCATACCTGCATCAAAACCCACCCTCCCCATTCCCGATCTTTCGTGAGTCCTTTCTTAGCAAACTTCAGGCGAGCCTCCGGGCCCGCCTTCGGTTTGCGCCCAGAGGGGCGGCCCCTTGGGGGCCGCTTCCTTTCACCCAAAAGAGAGGAAAGGCCCACGGTAAGAAACCGGATCCTTTGAACCGCACGAAACAACAAGACACATGGGATCCACGATCGCTTCTTGGCTATCTCTCATAGGCTAGTATACTGTACGAGACAATAATCTAGCTGGTAAAATACGACCGGGAAACAAGATACCCTCGACGCAAATTAGCTTGCTGTCCATGCAAAGCCGATCCCGACGGAATGTTCCGTTATGCATCACGATTAGCTGGCGTTCGGTCTGTGTGGTTGTCCACGGCTCGCCTTGCAGGTTATCAGACAATACGTTCGAAATGACAAGCATGATGGGATACGCCACAGGGCCAACTTGCTCGCCTGACTAGCTCTCTTGTTCAATTCACCTTTTCCGACCAGCGATTGGTGCGTTACAGTTCATTCAGTTATTCCAACGAAGAGTAAAGGACATTCACCTGACTTGACGGTCCTTTAGCTTCACTCACGGACACACCGACTGTCATGACAGGGCCCGCGGCCGTGCGTATTGAGTTCAGGCTTGACTGCGACTCGGATTTGGTGATGGTGCCGCGAACACCCTGTCCGCCTTTGAGTTGTGACGGAGTCGCCTACGCATGACGTAGAGCTCGGTACAAACGACAGCTACTCCGCAAGCGCGACTTCCAACAATTTCCAACCTCCTTGGATCATCCGCCCATAGCCACCCCGGATTCTGCTTCGCCGCACTCGGCTCTACCTCATGGTCTACGAGTATAACGACGTCGGTGAGTGCCCGTTCATCGAATCTGGAATACGCGTTAGGCCGATTACCCTTCTTTGAAATGGGGCAGGGTTGAGCCGCTGACTGAGGCAGCGCCGAATGTACGGTGTGCGACTCCGTTGACGCAACATGAAGGCTGACCTGCAGAAGAAAGTTGCAAATGGTCGTGACGCTGGCCAACAAGACATGCAGTCGCATTGGAATTGCACGGGTACGCGGCTAATCTACCATATTGCGCTTTCTGACGCCCCTCAAAGGTATATAAACCGCTTTTCCATGCTTCGGTTGGGCCAGTCGACCACACAATCGCAACAGACGTCCAGCTACCAGTCGTATAAACACCAGCATGCGCTTCCAACTTGTTCTGCTCACCTGCCTCGCCGCTGTCGGCCTCGGTGCTCCGATGGAAGAGAAGAAGTTCGCCATCCGCACCTGCCCCGAAGGCGGACCAGGCACGGCGTGCCCCGAGGGTTTCTTCCTGGTAAGCCCTCGCTCCCGTGTTCTTGCGCATCCTGGACTCATTATCCCCAACTATAGTGCCACAACACTTGCGTCGGCTGCGGTGGTACTTGCTCCGATTAGACTCGGACCTTCGTGTTACACGGACGAGGTGGGGCCTCCGTCTTGTGTCCCATGTGCAGCGCTTCACTAACATTTCTGCTTCTAGTCGCACTTACCGAGTAGTTCATACCTATATTCGCAATTGTTCATGCGCAGGTGTCGAACGTGGTCGGGCAACTGCTCACTAAGCCCGATATCGCGTCTTCGGTATTCTCTCGCTGTACTCGTCCTTTGCATTGCCACATTCGCAAACCATTGTCGTCGATTTTCACTGGGTTCGCAGCAGCGGGCTGAGATACTGTCGCGATTTCTGGCAATCGTGACGGCAACATGCATGTTGATAACGTGCTAAAAGGGAGCCAGGTTGTCCTCTGACTCCTAGTGTGCGAATTCATATTCCGGCGGGGGTTCTCAAGATCTCGAGAACACTGAGGCGCTGAACTTCTTAAACAGCTTCTGATGGGCTGATGTGGTGGCAGTCAGCGATTGATGTCGGACTTCGACAGGACGAGATCTTACAGCCGAAACTGCGAGCGCCCATGTATACGCATCAAGCTCAACACATGCCTTTGAATCCACGCACCTACTCAGCGAGGTATGTGTCACAGATACCAGCCCTCATCAACATTGCATGACGGCACTCATTTACAAATTTAGTACCGCTCCTAGTTGCCAAGCCGTTTCTCCGCAGTGGATGCTACCACACGAATCATTGGGTGAGTTGTTCACGGCTAGGAGCAGAGCTCGTATGCACTCTAATGATACTACGGTTCTATTACAGATTATCACTGTCCGACTCCCGTCTCATTATTCACGTTATTCAACAACATGCAGCATGGTGGCATCATAGTTAGTGCAATTGTTATCGTGAGGCCGAGGGTACTGGTGTCCGCACATAACTTCACTGAGGTTTAGAATAGCCACAGCATCAGCTTCTGACCGCATAGAAGCATGGACCATGCGGCGTGAAGTATGCGTGATGTATTGATGTTCGAAAAGAGCCGTCGTGACCAAACCACCGTGACTCTGCGATAGCGATAAGAGTCCTGTCACGAGCCCTCACCGTATTAGTACTTAGTGTCAACGTCTGGGCGTTATAGGCTGTCGTTCACTTCCTCAGCGGACTGGAGGCACTAGTTATTATGGAAAACCAGAACACGACAACGATCCTGGACAACGATGCGGCTGTATTTTCCACAGTGTATACTCGACTTACACCACCTCTAGCTGTAGAGTCATTTTTCTTCGGTATGCGACCCTTCAATTCTAAATATGGCTTACATTGATACATGCTGCTTATGTGTATGTCTGATAGGCGTCGCAACGACTTTGGTTCTCATATGGGCTTATCGAGACATGTTTGTTACAGTGGTTTTACGGGCGCCTGATCTCGCTTTAACATGTACTAGATTCCTCAATCCTCAAAACTCTGCATGGGGACTGCAATCTCCTCTGATCAGTGCATGTGGATTATATGGAGTATTAACTCTGCATTGGGCCCTTTCCATGCACGGATATATGAGCATATTCTCAGAGTTGCAAGTTTTCGTTAATCTGTCGCCATTCCATGGCTGATATTGCGACAGAGCTTCGATAGCATCCGATGCTGGACTAGGCAATGCACCCAACTTATTTGCGTCTGGAGATTTCAGTAAATTTATCCCATTCATTTCCGAGACGGTGGTATTCGGTGAGCGTCGCATCTAAGGACAAGACCCAGCAGTTCATGACTTGGTCAAGGTGCTTCGTCCTGTTTGTTCATTTTGGCATCGCACCTTGCTTTCCGGTATGCGTTTCTCCTCGCATCTAGAAGTGAATCCAAGATTATTTATTCGATGGAGTAGTAGGCAAAGGCCCAGCCCGGGCCGGAATTATGGGCACATTGCTCTTGGGATCGCAGGTACTATGTACCTCTTATCTGCCACGCACTGGGCGATCGATCTAGCGTCCACCACGACATGGTATCTGTGGGATAGGGAATTTGATTTAAGGTTATGGCAGAGCTCGGGAACTATGGTACCAGCGGGGTATGTAGGCGCAGAAGTTGCCCTGATTTCAGTCAATGTAGGTCCTTTGAGTCATCTTTGGACATGCAACTTAGATTTGGCAACAGACAATCCTCAGCGACTCCATAGTGCTATGGCGCATGTGGATTTTGTGGAATAGGAACAGATATCTGCTCTGGATGTCTGCAACTATTATCACGTTCACATCCGGTATATGTTTTGTCGTTACGCTGGAAACCCTTACCTCGTTGACCGCCGTACTGCAGCGACGTCGATTGCGAACATTATCACAATCAATCGAATCAGTGGTGCGTTAACCGACGACTTCGAGACAAAGAACCTGCCAGCGCTTCCTGTATTCAGCTACGGTACCTGGGGTATAGTGACGATCGTGTCCTCCTTGGCTTCAAATCTGGTAGCAACGTGTCTCATTGCACTCAAAGCATGGTACGTGTACCAGTTGTGGGCGTAGTGTTTTCGCCACACTACACGAACACAATATTGATCCAAGAGCTCAGGATGCATCGCAGAATGATAGCAGAGAGCTTCAAACTAGGAACGTACCGCACGATGACTGAGAGAGTAATGAGTATATTAGTCGAGTCTGGGGCTATATACTGCTGCATTTGGGTAAGCGAGCCCATATCCCGAGTGTATACTATTACATTTTAATACCTTCTCACTGCTCAGATCGCCTGGATTATCGGCAGCCTCGGCGTCGGCTCAATCGAAGTCCCTTCTGAACAGGTAGTCGATCGCACAAGCTTGGGCTGGGGCGAACTCGTTAGGGTGCCGGCACCTGCAAATCCCTTCGTAGACAACATGAATGTTACCATGGCACAGGTCACGGTACATATGCCCTTCCCATCCTCTCCGTGCAACTCTCACTAACACAGCATCCCTTCTTCAAAGACAATCTATCCTACGTTGATTCTTATCTTGGTTGCGCTGGAACGTACGCACTGCGATCATGGGTTCATGCTAGGCGCACCGGGAACCGCTCCTAGTCAAGAGAATGCAATCGCACCTACGTTGCATATTAGCATGAATTCTGTGGTCAGTGGCAACTGCGCACAAGGCCAAAGAGCGAGTGCTCAGCCCTGCGATACAAGCGGCGATACGGAGTCGTGTAGCTCGGATGAAATGCGATGCATCGAAAAACTGACCCCGTGAATCTGTACGGACGGGATGGAGGGGAGCGCGCTCCTGTCGCCGTGCGTGCATATGATCCTGATGCAGAGAACACTCCGACTTGTATTAGTTATATGTAGACGAATGTAACCGCGATGGAAAAAAAGTTCAACTGAGCATCAGCTCTGTGTAGAATGGCGGATATGTTTTGCGCTCGAGCCGGTCCGAGAACAGGCTAGTCGAAGGGGGTCCAAGCCACATAGTTACAGTGGGGTAGGGTATTCGGACGTTGTACGAAGAGCCGACATGGAGTGGATAGCCGTGGTAAGGTGACGGAAAAAAATGAGAAGCTGCGATGAAGCCCCAACCCGCGCACACTCCTATAAGGATTGCGTCTTGTGAGAGCGTTCTTGGTGACAGTGGGCTTGAGAGTGACCGTGAATGGTAGCCATCGCCGTCTGGAAAGCGTTCAGAAGTTGACCTTCGGAGACGGTCTTGTGGAATAAATCGGCTTCGAGGGCAATGATCTGGAATTTGAGTGGCTGCCGCGAGCCATCATCGGCAAAGAAAGCGCCTGCTCGAAGGATCAGTGGTACATATCGTGTATTGCAATGACGCGAGCAACGTACGGCGCCCAAGAATCAACTATCATAGAGCTCCCTCTAGTTCGTGAGATGCGATAAGGCATTCCTACACCCGAGCGGAACATGCGTTCTCAACGTTTTGAAACGCTACAACCATGACTCCTCTGGTAAAGCAGAAGATGCGGATGCACTCATCAATGGTGGTAGAATCCTGTCATTCTCCACGATGAACTCGCCCCCGAGCTCGGACGAAAAACTTGTCCTGCCGCCACAGCTGGCTCGTCCTGTCCGAACGCCCTGAACTATGCAGGAAAAAAATTCCCTGCAGTCCGTGACCACCGATGGGAAGGCGGCGGCTGGGTAAGGTTAAGAAAGCGAGGACGGGGGTAGGCGCGCTTTAGCGGCAGCGCATCTGCGCGAGAACATTGCTTGAATATCTTGCGATTTGGGGCATCTTTGGCTGCGGGCGTTAGTTCGCGGTACTGTCTATCGCAGACTCACAGTGCGCACGACGCAATCATGCACGCCATGCGACACCGGGCGTTGGAGACTTGAAGATCTCGATAAAATCCGATGCACTCGGATTTTCTGGTGCGATAAGCTATCCCAGACACCGCCAGGAGACATTTCCTCTCATCAAAGCGATAAAACCGACGTCGCCTTCACGTAACAACCCACATCGAGCGTGGCCGCGAGTGGTGCCAGCCCTACTCCTTGCGGATGCAGACTGCACTGCTCGGGTCGGAGAAAGCGCGGTGGTCGACGAGAACGTCCTGGATTCTGGATTTAAAGAGGGGCTAATATGGTCGCTCGTACACCGGCGGACCGATGAAGAGACGGTGGGAAAACGCATGGGTCTGTATATCTGTAAACAGCTTCTTGGAGGCGACCTCTGAATTTTGGGGCCTGGACTGTGCGGGGGAGAGGATCAAGAAGATGGAATCTCGCTCTCGGTAAAGCGACCGATCGTCAGTCGAGGAATTTTTGTTTCAGGGTACTCGACGTATTCTTGCGGGTTCCGGCTTGGGAAGAATGCGAGGTTGTGATACGAGTCCGATACGTGCAAAGCGAGACGTTTGGAGCGCCTTCTTCTCCGGTTAATTTCAGCTGACGCAAGGCGAGGGGTCAGAAGTAGTGAGTCGCGCAGGACATAAGTAGCAAGCCGCCGAGACTTCGATCCTGCGCGGTGAGCTCCGATAGAGCGGAGGGGAGACGTTAACGTTGGAGCCTCATATCAGGGTAACTCACATACTATCATTCCCACACTTGCTGGACACCCGGGGATTCTGGACACTCGAATCTTTTGCGTCCTCCCGTGGATTTCCTGAGCTCAAACTGGTGTAGATATGTTGTATCACATCTGATCTACTGTGCCGCGTTGAGAGCACGGAAATCAGTTGGGGAAAAGTAGCACGGTGAGCCTGGCAAGTCCCAGAATCATGCTACGCCGCCGGTAATCCCGCCGTTCCTGCTTTTATACCAATGCCTTGTACATATTACCTCCCAGAGTACATTGCTTGATGTATCAATGAGTGCAGACTGCAATAAAATTGGACGTTAGGGTGTTTCCGGAATGGAAAGCCGGGTCTCAAGACACGCGTGGGAGCAGACAGGACGTGCATTCCTTCATCGTGTTTCTCCCGCCGACTTCAGAGAACCCGTCGCTCTCATGGGTTCCCAAACACAGCAGTCT